TGTCTCCCAGTGGCTTCGCTTGGGTGCAAGGATAAACATGACTGAAACAAAATATAATTAAACTGTCTGCTAGCTCCTGAAAGTAGGGTGAATTACAGGACATTATTTGTGTCTGCGTGGTTATTGCTCTCAGATGCAGATTCGATGGTCTTTGCTGGCATAGCAGCCTGTAAGGAATTACGGCAGCACAAGGTCTTACATTTCTCTGACTTAAACCTGGGACCAAATTCGGCAACTTCCAGACTTAAGAAATGAAAAAGAGCTGGCACATAGTATAGTGCTACAGCTCTCACACGGGAGGTGTGACATAACAGCTGAAGTTTTAGCTCCAAAGCTTTGGGAATAACCTGGCGTTGCAGCACAGTGCCACATACTTGTGTGTTTCTATTTTGGGACAGTGCTCTCTGACTCTTTTTCGGATCAAAAGTAATGTCTTCTAAGGGTAAAACCCAAGTTACCCCTCTTTTCATTTTCACTGAGCCTGACTGTATCCTTTAAATCAGATGCTTACTTTTTTCTTCTTAAAGAGAAATTCATGTTTTATCCCAAGAGATTCCAGATTTTACTCCTTGGAAAAAAGCCTGGTTTTGTGTTTCAGGAAAGGTCTTAATAGCAGAATATATGTGGGATGCATCAAGAATCTGGAAATATCCCGTTCAACGTTTGACTTGCTTAGAAATTCATATGGTGTAAGAAAAGGCTGTGTACTGGAGGTAAGAGACCTTAGATCTTGTGACGTGATTATTACCGTTATTGTTTGTGAAAGAATATAGCAAGTTGGAATGGGTTGATCTTGAAAAATTCTAAGCTAATCTGTCCTTGAAACTGTATTTTTTACTGGGTTCTATGTAGGGACAGTAATTATTTCTCTTCCTCGTAAAATAGCCTATTCGAAGTGTGAACATCTTGAACAATGGATATATTGAGTTGGCACCTAAGTCCCTAAGTCCAGAATCAGAACTGATGGTGACTTTCGCTACAAAGAACAGGAGCGGTATCATCTTAGCTGGACTCAGCAGGGGGCTGGAGAAGCGACGACGCAGACAAGCACACTTGGCAAGAACCAATAACAATTTTTTTTGTTTGTTTTGTTGTTGCTATTTGCATTTCCAAATGTCAAGTCTAGTTTATGAATGTGACCTGGAAAGTGAGAAAGAAAAATCTGCTTGGCTTAGGAAGACCCAAATGCAGAGGCTAGCTTAGGAGCAGAGGACTTTCATCGTAGCAGAGGGAAAGGTGAAGGATCAGTTAGCAGAGACCTATTATAGCTGTTATCACCTAGAATGTTTTTGGAACAAGGAGGAAAAGTGCATGTGAAATACACATGGAATATTACTTTTCCCTTCCAGTAGTAAGAGTAGTTGCTGAAGGTTTTGAGGAAAACTGCTATGTGGTCGGCTGTTGTAGAACTCCTGCAGTCCAAGGACAAACACTTAGTAGCATTTGCTAGACCTGCCCCATCTTATTCCCTTCTTATAGGGGGGATTAAAAAGAAGACCTACATTTTTACCCAAATTTTGATCGTGAACAGGGGAATTTTCATCTTTCTCATCTTCCATTGGAAGGCTTTGCTCTCTGAGGGCTACGAATACATGTCCGCTAGTCTGCCAGAGATAAACTTGTCCAGGCTCTCTTCGGTTTAAGCGATGAATGAGTGAAAGGAAGTTGAGTTGCAGTTAAAAATTAATCTCCTGATTAAATCCACAGCCCTTCTTTTCCATCATGCTGATTGATGGTCATCTTGCAGTGCATGTTAATGCTGGAGATAGAGCAAGTACTAGAAAAGTGATTCTTCAGTCGGCTAATGGAACATACGGTGATGGACAAGAACACTCTGTCATCCTAATCCGAAATAAGAGGTACATGTGACTGCGAACAGTACTGCCTGCTTAATTATTGTTTGTCGTTGTCACTTCACTGTGCTCTCTGAGAAACTATCTTTGCTAGCTCATTAGGTGGAATAATCAGGGCTATGTTTTTCTGCTGTTAATGGAGGTGTTCTGATTGTCATGGTAGTGGTATACAGCACACAGCCACTGATGAAGTTGTATTTAAAAGCTCTCTTGAAATCTGTAGACAGTTTGGGCTACTTGAGTAAAGTGTGCTAAAAAGTGTTAGAAAAAATACAGCTATCAAAATAGTTTAGACGCTTATTCAACAAAACTCTATGTTAAAAATATCTGAAGGAGAAGGTCTTTCAGTTTTAAGAACTTGAAATGATCATCCAAGTCATGGAATCTTTATTTCTTAGAACTTGACATTTCTGAGGCTGAATGAATGTTTTCCTTTGAAAATAAAGTCTAAGGTGCTTGTTGAATGCTTTTCTTACTTTATCTTTTCAGGATCATAACAGTACAGGTGGATGAAGGTAACCCTGCAGAGCTGAAGCTTGGTTCATCAGCAGAAATGAGCCCCCTGAATATTTCCAACTTCTACGCTGGTGGCATTCCAGCAGGAGAGGGCATCTTAGGGCTAAAAATGGCTGGTTCCTTTCATGGCTGTATCAGCAATCTCATTTTTAACAAAGAGTAAGTCAGAGTTACTGTTTACAGAGCCCTGTTTTGGAAAACTGCATGTACTAATTATTAATTATAGTAATGTAAGGATTTGGGATTTCACCTCTTAAAATGTAGGCTTTTTAAAACATAGGCTTTTGGATTTCACCGCTTCCATGAAGTATGAGCATGTGGATATGGACAGCTGCTTTCTGTCAGGGAAGCCTAAGCCAGCCATACAGCCAGAAGACATTGAGATTCAACCTGAACTTCAGGCTTTGCCGGTTCCCCTGAGGCCTCTTCCAGATACAAAAAAAGTATGTATTAAAGCATAGCTCTATTGCCTCTTTTAGGAAAGCACTGAAGGAGAGCAAGATGCGTTTTAGCTGTGTGGAGATTTTTCGAAACATGGACTATAAATGTTTGCTGCTTCTGTGGCATGGAAGGAGTCAATGAATGTGGATTTGAAATGACAATTCCTTACAGAAAAACTGTGATATAAACCTGCATAGCAGCCAGCTGGCCTTTGGGAAGGGAAATGTGATTAGGTTTATCATTGTTCAGCCAGCAACACTAAAAAAAGAAAATGAAAGAAAAAGAAAAGTAGAGTGATAATCCTCCAGCAGAATGACTCGACAGTAGTTATCGTCTTTGGTGTGTTCCCTGCCAAAGTGGCTCCATGCTGAGATTTGCATTAGCTGTGCAAATCTGCATTCACATTTTACTGGTCACACGCATGCAGTCTCTGCTCTGTGTCAAGGAGGAGGCACAAACCATTGCAGAGACAGTGTCTGAATGCAGCTTGCATGGCACCTGTCTCCTCTTACACGCTCCCTCTTCCCAAGAGAGAGTACAGCATTACTTCTCTCCTCCTGCAGCTGCACATCTTTGTGATGAAGTGTTTCCAGAAGATCTTTAATCGTGTTTCTGTGCCAACAAAATGCAGGTTTTTTTATGCATTTCATACAACTCTGGCTATTAAAAAAAAAAAAAAGCTGTCCTCCTTATAGCTAAGGCATAGCTTTGGCTCATACTCTGTTACACAGCTCTTCATCCACTAAATCATAACAAAAATGTGCGTACTCACTAAATGGGAAAATATTTCTAAGTCCATAAGATTTGCACACTGAAATTACATTCCGTCTTCCAGCATTTGCAACCAAATGGGCTATCAATTAAGAGAAATGATGAATGGCTACATTTCAAACAAAATGTTTCTGAGTAGAAGAGACCTATGCTGCCAATGAGATATAGCTTAATCATTATAACTGGTTCTCTTTGAGCCTAATAATAGCTCAAAGTGTTTGGGAGTTTAGCTAATTGATGTTACCGTATACTTTGTGGTTATCATGTGGCTCAGTTTTGCTTCTTACAAAATTTAGCGCAAGCCTGTTGCCGTTCAGTACTCCTAGTCAGCATCGATGTATTTGATGCCTCCTGATACCATTCTTCTTAATAAAGTGCTTTCATTAACAGGTAGTTTGTGCAAAAGATGAGATACCTAGTCATGTTCAAGGTGCCCATCAGTTTGGACTTGCCAAAGGCAGCCACTTAACACTGCTCTTCAATCAGTCTACTGTAAGAAAGAAGTGAGTATATCCTGAATCACACATGCACAGAGTATGTTTTCTTCATTAAGCTACAAGAAGCACGCTGGTGATTTTCATGAAAAATCCACTGCATTATCAGCTTTGAACATGGCTCTCGCCTCAGTTTCTGTGAGTTCCTCATGGAAGAAGGCATCATAGCCACTTCATCATAATTACATGTCCCTCTCAGGTTTGTGACCATGAGTTCAGCTCATGAGCAGAGTTCTACATTTTTTCCCTTCAGGTTTAGGAGCCCTGTTGCACCTACTGTAAGTATTCTGATTTCTGTTTTCCACATACAGAGCTGCAACTGGTCCCTACAGCTTTGGCTGATGCAGATAACATCTAGCTCTCTCCTCTATGTTTTCTGCAATTGCACCTCCCATGTCTGCTTCGCTCCCAGGTGGCTGAAGGAGCTAAGCCTGCTGAGAAGGATCACTCTGACTCCCTTGAGTAAACTTTTTTCTACTCTCATTTGTGTGAAACAAGGCCCCCAAAACATAGCCTGCAATGCGCTTCCATATGCTTTTTTGGACTCATGAAGCCTCTGTAGGCATTCAGAAAAGATCCTTTCTCCTTTTAGCCCTTATGTTGCAACCATTAAATGTAAGAGTATTGCAGAGGATTGATGCTGTGAAGTCCTAACCTCATGTGCCCCTGTGAAATGGCTCCTCCATGAAGAGCTAGTCCATAAATAGCTCCTTTACTCTTAAGCTTTCCTCTGTTCTCAGTCTGCCCACTGTATCCCAGCAAGCCTGGCTAAGAGCGATGGATGTCACCACACCGTCCTGGAAGTCATTCCCTTCACCTGTGGCAACAGAGAAGGCTGTAGCCACAAACAGCTGAGCCCTTCCGCCTTAAAGCCCTGCTCACAAAGGCACTTTTTTTGTCTCTGACAGGCACTGCCCTGATTTCTAGTATCAAATATGTTATAGGTCATGCTTTCACAAAATCAATGCGAAATTTACTTTTCTGGCCTTTATTTCCTGTTGTAATAATAAATTAGATGAGGCTTTTCTCTGCCTCCAGAGAACCTTTTAATGATGTAGAAAAAATAACTGTCAGTAACATTGTATTTTTATTGTCTAGACTTTCAGTCCAGCTGAATCTCAGAACCTTTGCCTCCAGTGGGCTGATTTACTACATGGCTCACCAGAACCAGGTTGACTATGCAGCCCTACAGCTTCACGGGGGACAGCTCTATTTCTCATTTGATTTAGGCAAAGGAAAAGCAGTAGCTTTTCATCCTGCTGTTATCAGTGATGGAAAATGGCATACGGTAGGTACTCACCAGTCTTGTACTCCCATCTTCTCTTCCCTGGAGTTACTGGGTTGTTTTTTCATTGTCATTGGGCACTTTTTATGTCCTGAAGGCAAACAGGTTTTAACCTAGTCATGAAAGCAGTCAGATAACTTTACTTAAGTAAATTCTCATTAATTATGCAGTCACTCCAGAATCTAGGTACTGTCAAGTATCTCCAGATTATTTAGGAGGGAAGTAGTTCACAAACTATGTAATAAGCACAGTAGTCATCCTCACTAGCTACAGATTTCAGGTATCAGGTAGCATTTGAGGCCTTCTTCTGAGCTCCCCAGCTCTGCTGGCTCTTACATCCTATTTGAGAAATGTTTGTGATGTCTGCTCGCATTTTAAAAGAAACTTTTGCCACATAAATTTTCTTTAGGCCAGGTGAGGATGACTATATTCATCCTGCTAAGTTTCCCTTCACTCTTCCACCTCTGCCACCTCTCCTAGGTGCCCTGGAAATCATCAGAGTGTTATTTTTGCCTTTCTAGTATAACCAGCAGAATAAAAAAAAGAAGCAAAAACTAACACAGAGGAAGCAAACCTGTACTTATGCGTGATATCTCTCTCTGACATAAACTCTGCTGCCTGTCCTGAAGGGAAGAACTCTCCAGAGTTATAGCTGCTTGTTTAAATTTAAACATACTCACATAAAAGCTCATTCTCTCACTGTCAACCTTTCAAGAGATGAACAGATTCTGTGTGTGATTTATCTTTGCTATACATGGCATAAAAACATGAACTTTAACCTTTTTGCTGAGATTAAGGCTGAGTCACACCACTTCAGAGCTGAGGATGAGTACTGCAATAACTTTGTGATCAATTTAAGGTGACTTGCGTTGCTGCCAAAAGAAACTCTCTCTTTGCCTTCTCAGCCCTCTGCTTGTATTGCTCTACTGAACCACTTTCTCCCTTTACCAATCCAAATGTTCAAGAACCCTCATGTTGAACCCAGTCAGGATTCTGGTTGGATGTAAAAGTAATCAAGGAGGAATAAATGGTTAGCCTGAACTCAAATTATTTCCCTCATCTCCATGTGAGCGCTTGTTTTAGTGCTGGAAAAGCACAGGGGCATGAATGAACAAGGACAGACTAGACTGGAAATCTTTTTGCTCATAGGAAATTCAGCACTGCCCATAATAAAATTACAGCATAGGAGCATGCACTTCAGAGATAAGGTATCTCCGCTGGTGAACAGCACAATATTCCACAAGGTTGGTCTTCAAATTTGGCCATGTACTCAAATCCCAAGACAATAAACTAGCAGTTTTAAATAATAATCATTAAGACCTTGAAATGCTTACACAGGATAACAGGCAATCATTGTGGACCCTTAGGAAGGAAGGAAAGCAATTTAGCTGCTTAGTTGCATATTCTGAAATGACCTCATCTTCAGAGTGAATTTCAAGATGATGCCCTAGTACAGTAAGTCACAGCAATCTAGCGTTTAAAAATCATCTTGCTTGCTTCCATGGTAAGTGATGACTAGATAACTGAATCAACATACTGTTTACATGCTTCCATTTTTTTCCACAGGTAAAGACAGAATACATTAAAAGAAAAGGTATGATCATTGTGGATGGAAAGGAATTAGTAGCAGTCAGTGCTCTGGGCGATGGTAGTACTTTGGATGTGGAGGGAAAGCTCTACGTAGGAGGACTCCCCCTGGACTATGTGGCAAAGAATCTTGGGAATGTAAGAAGGTTTTGGGTTCTTTTCCTCTGTTATTTTGCAGCATTAGCTAGGTGTACTGCATCAAACCCATCTAACGACAAAAAACAAGTACTTTGGGAAAGAAATAACAAATAATAACCCTTTGCCCAAATAAATCTTTCCAGCATTCAGTGACTCCTTGAGCTAGAGCTTATATCCTCATGTCAATAGCCCTTGATGGATTTTTCTTCTATCAATCCCTTTGTTAAAAAGGGATAAAGATTATAAATTCCCATGCTTCACACTATGAGATAAAAATATGACCTAAATCCTCACAGACGTTTTGGTACCTAAATCCTATTAGGTACCAAATTCCTGCCTATTAGATCCAGGTAGGAATTTGGTGGCTTAAATGAAAGCCTTTAACTGTCTGAGATTAAAGCACACTTCCTACACGTGCTTTTAGAAGGTAGGTTTTGTCATCTTTCTCCTTGTGCAGGCCGTTATCTTAGAGAGGATTCTGGCATTGATAATGGTGTTTGTCAATTCCTGTATGCACTCTCTTCACCCTTGCTTTTTTTGCCTAACTAGGCTTATAAATACTTTAATATTTTGAATCTGTAGTTAAAATAGTGAGAAATTCTAGTGAGTCTTATCACTAGATAAAACTGGGGATCCGTACTTGCAATATATCTTCGAAAATCTTGCTTTACATATTTGTTAATTTAAGGAAGCATATTTGGAATGTCTTTAACTGCTGGGCATCTCCCAGCTTTCATGGAAGCAAATAAAATTCTGTCTATCGAAGAAGCATCAAGCCCTTTATAATGCAAGGCAGTCTGTGGCAAAGCAGTTTGCTCTGTACGTTATAGAGAGTATATACTGTGTTTCTATATAATATTTATGTTACCTCTGTAAGGCATTGTGTACTTTCGTAACCTTATATAAGCAAAGGTGATAAACAGAAATGTAATTATGTAAATATTTTAGGTCCTGCTGTGTCCTGTTCAGAGAATTTTTAATCTACAGTGATATCAGATGGATCACTTAGAGAGCATAACAGCACTTTGTATTGCACATTAACGCTTCTATTTCCATCTGCTTAGGTGACTCATAGCATTCCTGCCTGCATTGGCAGCATGACAATTAACAGCAAGCAACTGGACAAGGAGAGCCCTGTCTCCATCTTTGCTGTGAATAAGGTTGACTCATAGCATCCCTGCCTGCATTGGCAGCATGACAATTAACAGCAAGCAACTGGACAAGGAGAGCCCTGTCTCCATCTTTGCTGTGAATAAATGCTATGGGACAGTGCAGGAAGGCACTTTCTTTGATGGGAGTGGCTTTGCTGCTCTTGGTAAGTGTCATTAAATGAAAGCACTACCTTACTGAATTCGTGTTAATGAAAGCCATTTTAGGCCTTGCTGGAATGGTACGTAATTAATTGATCCTTCGCTCAGTGACTGAATGGCTTGCTGACTGGTAACCCTTCATAACTTGTCTCCAAAAGTGGGTGTTTCTGCCGAAAGGGCTTTCCTCTACAGATGGAAGATCTAGTGACTCCAGCACTGAGGAAAACTTCAGCGTATTAAATCTAAGCAAAGTAAGGAAAACTTTAGGAATTTACACACACGCACACACACACACACACACAGAATGTGAGTTTTGACTTTGAACAATGTAGGAATAACTTTCCAGAGGTCCAGCAAGATCCTATCCCAGCAGGGCAATTAACATACCTTTCAGGCCTTTTAATGACCACTCATATATTCTACTCTGTACTGTGGGTTACAAATCTTCTGTTAAAAGCTTTTACCTTCTCTCAGTCAAAGAAGGTTACAAAGTGCGGTCTGATGTGAATATCACACTTGAGTTTCGTACCACTGTGGCGCATGGCGTTCTCCTTGGGATCAGCAGTGCTAAAGTCGATGCCGTGGGACTGGAGGTTGTAAATGGCAAGGTAGGCTACCGTGTGTCAGCATACTTACTTCACAAGGCTTGCTTAAAACGAGGAGTTCAGAACTGTTGGACAGCACTAAACTTACACCATTAAAATGTAATGCAGGCAAAATATCGGAACCAAGTCCCCACAGAAGTAATCAGGGATAGAGTTTCAGTCCCAAATTTTCTCACCGTGATCATATGTTAAAATGTGAGAGTAGCGTAAGTCGCTGGAAATTTTTGTCTTTTTAATTGCTGTTATTTATGCTAGCCTGCAGCCACTGTGACCTCCTTTGTATTATACTTGCTACTGCACTACATACTTTATATGATAGAGTAAATAAATTCTTTTCTCGTAACTTAATAGCTTTTCCATAAAGCTAAACTTGGCTTTGTCAAGTATATTCTTGCATGCGCATACCCCTCTGTTTTGTAGTCACTTCTTCAATATTCATGGGCAATACCCATGGCAATTAACTGTCTCTCAGCTTCTGCTGGCCATTGTACTTCATAAACCAACACAGAAAGTACCTGTTATCTGTCGATACAAAGTTCACCACCCATCCCCTGCACAAAAATGTGTATTTGATTGATTGATCTTTAGTATTTCCTTTTCTCAGAAATGACTGATTTTTTATTCAAAATTTCCTAGCTAGAGAGACTATTGACTATCACTCTTTCTGTGGGATGCACTTTCTCTGTTAATATTTACATATTCATCCTCATCACAGAGTTGAGGAAATGTCTACTGCTTTGAAAAATTAAGTACATAAAATAATACAGCTATTGGCGATTAAAAGTTATTTCAGTCCATTTTCTTTGTCTTCAGCTAGGTGCAATAGATCTTCTTTCAGATCTTAAGTCTCAGCTTCTCTGAGGAAAAAGACTTGATTTATATTTGTAAGAAACATTAAAGTCCCAAGTAGAGCATACTAAGGTAACGAACGGATCATTGCATGGTTAGACATAAATCTTTTAGATTTTAAAGATAGTTCAGTAAGTATTCACACTCATTCTGTCAAAATAAACATTAGCTTTGCATAAGTACCAAGCATTTATTAAAACGGAAATCTCTGCAGCACCATGATTGTGCTTTTATCTAGACAAATTAGTTCATGTATTCTTACTTTCTATCTTTATTGGCATCTGACTGTTTATACAGGTTTTATTCCATGTTAACAATGGAGCTGGCAGAATAACAGCCATATACGAACCACAAGTTGCAAATAGCTTGTGTGATGGAAAATGGCACAAGCTTCAGGCAAACAAAAGCAAACATCGTATTGCGCTGATAATTGATGGGAATTTGGTTCAAACTGATAATCCCTACATCCAGTCAACATCTGCAGATACAAACAACCCCATTTATGTTGGAGGCTATCCTGGTAGGTACAATAATATTTCTCTTTCCTTCTCTCTCTCGCACATAAGAATGAGTCATGACTCTCTCTCTCTTTCTGTCTCCCTCCCTCCCTCTCTCCCTCTCTCTCTCTCTTTGTCAAAAAAAATGAGTCATGAAGTTCATGATTGAGTTGTAAATCACAGTAACCATTTTCCAAGTTGTCATGAAGATCACAGCCAAATAGTATTTCTGTGTACTCTCTTTGTGGAGGAATGCATTTAGCTGTTAAGTGTGTCAGTGAGACCAATTGAATTCATTTCACTTCCCTAAACAAAGCTACTCCTTAACTTTTGAAAAGGATTTCCTCCACATGCTTTCCGTTTCACAATCTGTCTGAAGCTTCACAATGTCCTTGCCCATGTAGTTTCGTGTGTTTGTCTTGCATTCAAATTCATATTAAGGCTTTCCTTTACATTTTTCTGGGTAAGGTTTTACCATGCTCTTCTCAGTTTCATTTTTGCTAACGTTGCATGTTGAGGTTGTGCTGGCAAAAATCAAGCTGTGGCAGGTGTACATATATTTCCTTGCTCTGTGCAAGTTTCCTTTTGAAGTAACTGTTTGTCAGTCATAATATGATGGTAATATAAAAGGATGGTATTGCAAAAATGTAATTGAATTATTTTTAAATTCAATTGTGCACCTCATGAATTGATAATTTGAGCCAAGCCAATTTATTCATTAGGAGGTTTGGATTTGTTATACCATGAGCTTGGCCTTTTTGCAGGCAAACACAACAATATTTATTTATAACTTTTTCTCGACCACATCAGTACTGAGAGTGACAAGGTTTCAGACGGTTTGCAGTATCTCATGTTTTTAAATGTAGCATCAAATATCTGTATAAATTTGTCTGTGAAGCAACAGTTACAGTTTATGAGCTCAGATATTTCCATTTGTGTGAAAAGTTCAGGGTGATGAGGTCTGGAGGGCAAAAATGTTTCTAAACATTTGGAAAGCTTTAGGGATAATAGCTTGAAATGTTAGAGCCTTTTCTTGGTCAAGGTTTTGGTGCTTTATGAAAAATGAATTAATGCTAATTAACCAGACCTTGATTAATATTTGTTTTTTCTAGAATTCCTATGAGGTCTTATCAGCATCATGTGGAACTTTTTAAAAAATAGGGTAACATGACAGTAATTGTTGCTCTTTCAGTACTCCATCTGGAAGAAGTTAAGGTTCGCAAAGAAGAGTGAAATGCTTTAGTTCAGTTGACTGCTGCAGAAAGTACAGAGTGAATCATTTCCCAGGTTGTATGCAACAAGAGTTGGACTCTGTACCAACCCCATGTTTTTGTTTGCCAAGGGAGTCCATGGCTTTGCATAGCTCAGCTGTTGCTTCATGTTCTGCCAGTCCCGATTTTTACATGGAAGACACCTGTGTAGAGTGGCTATCCCCTTCCCTTATCTCCCATTGTACCCTAGGGCAAATTATTTCTGCAGCCTCTGTGTAAATTAATCTTTAGTGTAGCTCAGTGTATGGCTCATGTTTGAAGGCAGCAATGACTGCCCATGGTGGGAGCATGCCCAGATCATCCAAACACGAATGGAACTTGGTGATCCTCAGACGTTATTTTTACGTCTCGTATGAGAGGGAGGGGAAGAGATTAAAGAATAACCTGGATCTTTGTGTTGTTTCAGTTCACTGGGAAGAGATTCTACGTATTTCATATTTGTTTTTCAGCTGATGTGAAGCAAAACTGTCTGACAAGCAAGAGCTCGTTCCACGGCTGCTTGAGGAACCTCATACTGACCAAGGGCCAGCAGGCAGAGTTGTTTGACTTCAGCAGAGCTTTTGACCTGCGTGGAGTCTTTCCTCATTCCTGCCCTGGGGCTGAGCACTGAACTGCAGCAAAGCCTTTCTGGATTGAGAGAGAATTTTTTGTTGATCTGTTATTTTTCACTCTCATTTGTTAATGAAAAGAAGTTTTTGGTGAGGGCTTGCATCTCTTTGATTTTTCTGGTTGTTTTCCATCTCAGGTCTTTTTTTTTTTTCTAGTCAGAAGCTCTATGTTTGCATTTTAACTAAAAAATTTTGAACAACGAATACCTCTAATACAATGTTAATGGCATTAATTGGGTATTTTTCTTTTGGGAATTTTTATTAATCAGTGTTTACAGTATGTGTTCTCTTGATTACTTGACAGTATTTCATTTTATTGTATGTTGGTCTTTTTATAAGAAGGTAATAATTTTGGACCACGTAATAAAATTACAATAAACTGCATTATTTCATGTAGTTTAGTAATTTGTACATTTCAGTTAGAAGAAGAAAAGGGCCAGAAGGTATGGAGTAGAAAATGCAAGTGGGTAGAATCCAGCAGAGGGAGCAGGAGACTAATGGCATAATTTTGAAGCTATCAGATTCAGAGTCTAATGAACAGAATTTTCTGATTTTTACTTTATACGATAACTCTGATCCCTTTCCTTCTGCTTAATATCCAGTACTCCTCACCCCCATTAACTATGTTATCTAGGAGAATCGTGTGCCTGTTAGGTTTTCTGAAGAGCCACAGGACAAGCTGCAACTCCACAGCAGAGACAGGCGAAATAACTGTGTTGGTGAAGAAACAATTTAGGTATGAGTTATGACAATAAGAACTAATACAGCTTATCTTCTTGGGAAACCAATATTGCTTATAGGACATGGGGAAGCACCTTTGTCTGTCTTTACTTTTTCCTATTGTGTCGGCCTCTTTCTGAAATGAGGTTTCCAGCTGTTGCACTTGAGCCAATTTGGGGAAATGCACACTTGTGGCTTAAGCAAGGGCATCCATTCATTTATCGACTAGATCACTGAGCAGCTGTCAGATGTAGCTGGTACTTGAATATTGATCTATAATAAACTTAGCTCTTTACTTACCTTTCCTTTTTCTCTCTTTAAACTAGCAGTATTTTTTTTTCTGCTTCTTACAATTTTGTTTGGCCTTTACTATGCATTTTTAGAATTCATTTTAAGATCAATTTTGCTTTACTTATTTCATAGTAGTTAAAAAATACTGACTCTAAGGAAACCTGGAAGCAATTTGCCATTGATTTCAATGAGGCAGGATTCCAAGCAGTGTCATTTTATACTTTGATTCAGGGTAGTCAAGAGAAGAGAAAAGGTCCTGGAGTGAAGAACGGCTTCCCTTGAGCAATGATGGCAGAATATGGTCCTTTACAGTGCTTTGCAGTTTCTCAGGTGCTGTAACAAAGGAGTTGCTTTTACAATTCACCACCCATTTTCCCAATTTCCGTCACCTGCTTCTGTCAGAAAACCATGTGTTTAGAGTTGAAGCAGCTATTTTGTTTGTATTGTTTTTATTTTTGACGTGGCTACAATACAACGAACACATTCTACTGTACAAATACACTAATAGGTGGGTTTACTTCAACAAAACATTTAACATTATAATGAGGAGGGTACGGGGAAACATACATACAAACATTTTGCTTTGATTAGTGGCATTGTATTATTTTCCAGAGAAGGCACACATTAATGGAAAGCTATTGAAAAATAAAAACTGAAACATAATATTTTTGTGTTTCTTAGCTCTTAACCCCAATATCTTATCTTGCAAGGTTCACATTACAAGCAATAACTGAGGCAATGTGGTTTGGACAAGATTACATCTGTATCTTGAAATACATATTTTAATTTTTTTTTTTTTTTTAGCTAATTTCCAACTCTTGCCCCTTGTAAGGAGAAACTGTTTATCAATGTAAAAGACTGGTAGACACATGTGAAATTAATAATATAAAGCTTTGGAATATGAAACCTCAAAGCCAAAATCTTTTTTCCTGGAAAATGCAAAGTGAGGTAGTTTACAGTACACACAGACATTTGCACACACACGCACATTATAAAGACATTAGCTGTATAAACAGGTTAGAACATTCCAGTCTGTTTCCAATACCTACTTCTTGCAATACTCTAAATATGCAAAATGCTATCTTTGTAGAACCATGGAGTATGTAAATGGTTTGAGGCATCTTTGGAGTTTGCTGAAAAAGTTTCTCCCTGCATGCTGCTACTTTCTTATTAATAGCTTTCCACATATGTTGCTTTGATGACAACACTTATAACTTGAGATTGACTGCAACTGCTGTTAGGAGGAACAAAATTCCAGGTGCCTCCACCAGCGTTTTAAAAAATAAGGTGTAAAGTTGAGACGTCAAATTTAAAAATATCGGAGTGATTTTTTCAGTTTACTGCATATTAATTCAAGTTAGTGTACCACAACAACACAAAACAACTTAATGTGTAACCGTATTTACCACAATACACATGGGTCATTAAGTCCTGCTCTCGTTTGCATCAAGAAAGAATTCTGCCACTCTGATTCAGAGACAGCAGGTGTTTGGCTGTATTGTAGTCATTTGGGCACTGTATGTAGACTCTAATTCATCTGCTAATATGCATGTCTTATAGGCAATTTTAATATATAATAAGTTTTCATAGGATGGATTTCATTTCATCAGATTTGGCTTTCCTCAGTTGCAAAGTAGGAAGGTGAAGGTGTTCCAAAAACCCCTTGTATTTTTTGCAGAGTACAATGAGTTTTTTTTTAAGAAACGTTTTTGGTGAAGTCTTCATTTCAGGGTCCAGAACAAACCAAGCTTCAGTCTGAACCTGTGGGTCCTCAGTACAATCTTTTCCCTTGTATGGCTATTGAGAACACAGAATGAAGTGAGCGGGCAAGATGGAGATGGTCAACGCGTCTGTCTGAAAGTAACTGTAGACAAAGTTACCTTGTTTGCTACAACATTTCAAATTCTTTAGTCAATGTTCAGGCTTTTTGTATAGTCATAAAAGCTCTTTCGTTGGTAACAAATACAATGATGCTTAGCATTTATATTTTGCTCTTCATATGGTCCACATAAAATCCCTTTGCTGAGTTTGTCCCTCCTAGATGGATGTTTACAACTTCTGTTGCACTCAGGGAGTTGGTTGGATGTGTCTGAGAATTGAATTTAACTCTGACTAATTCTCATATTACCTTTATAAGGAAAATACTAGTTCTGCTGGACAGCTAAAAAAGGAGGGCAGCATAGAAGAAAAAATTATCCCTGGCCACAGAGGGAACTGAAGGGAATCAGGAACAAAGCATGTGACAGAACATTAATGCTTAGTCCTATGAACAAATGACAGATCTACAGTCTCTCATATACTTAAAATAAATAGTTGTCTAAAAACACAGTGTATTTTATAATACAACTGTCCTGGTCTTAGCCTGGCTGCACTAATGCATCCATTAGTGTTAAGAAAAAAAATACTGGAAAGTTAAAAATTACATTGAGCTTTAAGGAAAAGAAAGAATAACATTGCTAAATTTTATCAGAGTTTGTCTCAAGAAGAAATAACAAATAACTATTTATTGTTGCTAGTAAAATTACTGATTAGAGGTTGATTTCTCTCACTGAACTCTAACAGAGAAAGTTAAATGCCAAAGAACAGAAAGACAAAGAACTTTGAACCAAAAGTAGGGTTTCTAAAATGTGAAAATCACTAGCACACTGTTGCAGCAGATCCTCACAAGTTAGAGGCTTTCTCTGCAGGACGAAGTACTCCATGGTCACATGGGGGGCTTGGTTCCTAACTGTCTTCCATTGCTACCTGGTGGGTGCAGCTGGAGCTTCTGCCCTATGTGTGTGTCCAGGTCACAAACTCAACCCAGTGATCAGACTGTGGGTGAATCTGTTGTGCAGGATAGTCATTCAACAGCAGGGATGTCGCATTACATTTGAAGGCATTCGATCCCAATTTTTGCAGAAGAAAAAGATGAAAAAATAATTCTTGTTTTCCAGAGACTTACTTATGATTTCAATACTTAACAAACATGCTTAGTTATGTAAAATGTAGCCCCCAAACACCCAATTAGTGGAAGAATGGTGCTCACCCTTGTAACAGGCTCTGGGGACATACTCTATTATGAGTTGTTCCTAACACAGTGACAACTCCCTCTTTCTCTTGTTGGCCTTTGTTTTTTTATAGACGGCATACAACCTGTGAAAGGAGCTGGAATTTGTTATTTATTTGTAAAACTCCTAGCACAACTAAGTCTAGCTTAGCTGTGGTCTTTAGGCCCTGATTTGTGAATGTTAAAGAGTATTAAATCCCTGTGCTCACTGGAAGCTCTTAGTCTTCTCCATGCTGTATTATAAAAGATCCAGATAAAGATCTTTCTTCTCAGTGCTGCTGAATAGTATAAAAGTTGCTTACATATTAAAGCTAAAATAAACAAAAGAAAAAGATTTAGGTTACAAATTAAGAAATGATAAGGTTTAACAAGGTGATGTCCGTAAGTGGCACCATTAACACATATATCATATTATGGCATTACATAGACTTAGATCTCTGTAAAAGATGTAAAAGGTCTTTTAGGTAGATACTAAGTAAAAGATGGAGCTGAGGGACTATGTCTCCTCTTGTCTAGCATTTATCTCCTGAAGCTATCACTTGGTGTGTTTAAGTGGTAGGGGAAGCAAGGAGAAAAAAAATGTGCACAGTAACATGATCCAGACAGATGGTTTCAGAAGACTGATAGACTGAACAGTGCTACATACATAAATCGGTATAGCTGTTCTCCCCTCCACCTGCCTCCCTGCCAGCGTCAGGTACCAATGAGGAGTGACTGAGAGACATAAATATTGCAGTAATTCACATGGTACAGGTTGCAGCAGAAAGGTTTGATTTTTCTCTAGCAAACAGCTGCATTTTGGCACTGCGGTAGATGGAGCTCCTGCGTTCCATGTTTTGTAGATACCTTCTTGTCTTGAACGTCTCTGTGATACTTTCATGGCCGGTAGTGTTTCATGCATCCTAGGATGCCACCAGAGTGTTCCCTTTCAAAAATACATGTTCTAACACTAGCTCAGGAAACAAAACAACTCTGTATGCAGCAGGCTGTTTTCTGTGCCTCGGTACCTCGGTCCTTCCTCCTGGCCCAGCTGGTACCAGTACAATCCATACCAAAGCATAACCGATGTGATGTTTTCCAGTGTTCCAGAACCTGGAGTGGTAATTCTCATACCAAAATTAGTACATGGTGAACATCGGCTGTACGGTACGGTAGGAGGGAGTTGTAGCCCGGAGCTACCGTTTTACTTGAATATGTGGTATGAGCTTCGTAAAACGGCCGGCATTGCGCTTGTCCTTTTGGCCTTTGTCCAGCACACTGCTGCCTTGCGCTTCAGCTTGCTTTTGGCTTTATCACCCATTCTGCCTGAGGATTTGCGCGGTAAACATCTAACATGTATGCATCCGGGTCCAGACAGTGCTGACCTGAGCCAAAAACAGACAGCCATGAATCACACCAGTTTTCAGCATATTCGTAAATGGGATAGAGCTACGTTAAAATGTTCTTGAACGCATCTCCGATTTGTACATGGTTTGGTGGGTCCTTGCCTATGTGCAGGTGGGTGTTTGGGTAGATTTACCTTTCAGTATTTTTGCTTAGTGAGATCCACAAATTCAGTTTCAGATAGGGTGCTGTGCTCTCCATGGAGTTATGGACAAGGCATTTAGTTAAATGTTGGACAAATATTATGGTTTCTTTATAACTGCTAGCAATGCTATTGCTAGAGGTACCATAGGATATATATTTTTATTTTTTTGCATTTACTGGGCTGGGATTAGAACTCTGATTTCATTTCTATGCTATTTTTAAAGGCTGAAAAAGTAGCTTGTGAAACATATGTTCCCACTCACGTAGGAACTGATAAAGAAAAATATGGACTGCATCAAGTTTTTTGGCAGCTGCTGTTTTGCTGATTAAAAAAAAATACAAGAGTCCTCCAAAATCTAGCTGCTTTAGGGTTTTTTTGGTCAGGTGATGACTGGAAATGGGAGCAGGCTGCCTGGGGAGTCCCAGATACCTTTGCAACAATTTGCCTTTGACACAGAAAGAGGCATTTGGTTCTTGTTAATTGAGTAATAAGGCAATAAAGTCTTGAGTTAAGTTGATTTGTTGGACTATATTGCATTTAGACTGGGTGATGAAGCTATTTAACTGGTGAGGTTACGCTGCTGTGACATTAAGGATTATGGTAAAATTTTTGTTTGGTTATTTAGGTTATTGGGGGTCCTAATGATTTTACTCAAGTAAAAGCAATATAAACAAATTAATGCATAGGGAATGGAATAAGGAACCCCAGAAGATCTAGGGCTATAAAAACTATTTTAAATGAACATACAAATTAAACAGTCAGATTTTTGAAAGAGCATGTTGGTAGTAAGTAGTTGGGATTGTTTCACAAGGCTTACAGGATCCTTTCCTACTTTACAATCTGTTGGTCATCCTGCTTAGCCAGGCCAAACAGATCACTAATCAAGTTTAGTTTTCTAACACTATGACTTTAGTAATAAAGACTGTTCATTTTACTTCTTGAAAACTACTGAGACAAGTCTGTGATGTTTTGCAATAATTTTATAGAGGCTGTTCAGAGCTGAAACTAGAAAAAATAATGAATGTAATTAGACAGTTGACAGAAGATTTAAGCAGGGCACCCAAAGGATTATAGTATGAGCAGAGAAAGGAGCAAGTCAGAACTGTGTAATATCAAATTAAAATCTGGTTTTGACCTTTAGGCAAAGAACTTTTTTGTGGTGAGCCACTGCTGTTATTATTACAAAAATGTCACTGCATGAAACACAGAAGAAGACAAAATCCCTTCTGCAGAGCATTTACACTCTAAATAAAGCACACAGATTAGTATTATACACAAATATATTCTGTGGCTGAATTCTTAGTTCTTTTTTTTTTTTATGTGGGGGAGGTTAACCCTTAAATACAGTCAGAAAAAAATGTATTTTGGGAAGACTTAAGAGCAGGGTGGAATATGCTTGCAAGAGGAAGGCTAAGGATCTCTTTAACTAGGGAAAAAAGCTCAGTTATGAGAGTGAGAAAAGAAAGCAAAGGGTCAGATGAATTTGGCAAGCCTACAGCAGCCATAAGGAGTCCTGCTGAGATCTAGCCATCAGGTCATTTTCTCCTGTGGGGAGCCTTTCCAATCACGCTGGAGTCAGGAGGGGTCAATACATTGGTTTTAACAGTTTTTAGATCAGAAACCTCCTTTCTTGCAGATGGACTGGAAGGCAGGAGAGACCCAGCTGTGTGAAAATGGCAGTGACTTGTGGTATTTTAAGACACTAAGGATGTTCAGGAATGAATTTTCAAATATGAGACATACCTATATTTCCTCCAATTTCATGTAAACTTTGGATCTGGGCTCCCATGTTCCGTGATGATCCGTGGCTAAGAGAGAAAAAAAAAAACACCTTCAGTTTTGTCTTTCCTGTTATAACCACTGCTATATCAACCATCATCTATATTAAGCAAGAATTATATTTTTGCCCTTGCTCTGATGAATGTACTTATCAAATGTAAGGCCTTCTAACAAATTAAGCACTGCAGAATACTATCTACTACAGAGGTAGTTCATTATGCCACAGTTAACAAAGCCTTCTATTTTTCTTTAATTATTTATTTAAGGAAAAGTATTATTTGGTAACAGGAGAAGACTCTGCAGAAAAGACTTTCAGGATATAATTTCTCATTTCCCATTACTATTAATAATTATTACTTTACAGAAATAAAAACATTACTGTTTTATGGGCAGATGTAAGACAATTCCTCTGGGTTCCATATGCAGCAAGTCTATAAAATGTATGTTTTTAGTAGAAGCATAACGTAGAGCAGATAGATAGATTGATTCTGTATAGGAGCCAATTATTAAGTAACATACAAAGAATAAAAATCAACGGTTAGATTTTTCTTGACCAACATTATCGTAAATTAGCAATTGTAAGTGATAAAAAGAGTTCTCGTAACACAGTGAGTCTCTGAAAAGGGGACAATCTGTTCATTAAAGGTTCTGGAAATATTGTTCAGGAAAAACAAAAAGTTCTGTTTTACCCACCTGTTTTCACAGTGGAATCGAGCCAGGATGTCTTTGGCTTTTGTTTGGCTGTTGAGTTGAATAGCCATAGAGACTTTTGAATGCAGCGGAGCATAAACTCTTATCACTCCCTCAGGTATGTCAGACTGCAGGTATGGGGGAAAAGTGACCGCTCCCTAAAGTCAATATTCAGTAGAATAAGTCTAAGGCACATATTGCTGCAGCTCCATTCAGAAAAATCTCTGCAACTCTTTCGAGGTTGCTTGCAAAAATCATGGCATGAATTCACTTAATTATTCAAACTATGTATTTACAATCCTATAATCACAAATTTATAGGTACAATATAATAAGATACTACACAAAAACAAAAAACTCTTGGTAAGCATCACCTTAATGCATGCAGAATAAAGTATCGCCCGTGAATATTAATTGCTTGTAGTAATGTTCTAAGTTAAGTTGTTATCTGATATTTTGATAGGCTATTTCTGTTAACGTTGGCCAATGAACCAACTGCTTATTTAAAAAATAAATGTAAATATCTAGCAGTATCTGTTCTTCCTTTTAAAGATGAAATTCTCCTGAGGCATTAATGAAGGTCCAGTTCTGCTTCCGCTTGCTAGATCTTCAACTAGATCGAAGCTTATATACATAACATATATACATATGTATATACATATATAATGTATATACATATACATTAAAATATCAAAGTACCAGATGCTTTCTGTTAGTTTGAAATTTGACCTTCTGCAGGGTTCAGACAATCATCTATGAAGTTTATGCACTCTTCCATGATTAATGGCAGATAAATCAATTAGCAAGGTTTGCATTCCAATTCTAATCCGGTTAATACCATGCTGAGTAGAGTAGAACAGTCTCTCCAGTCTCTGCCCCTGTGTAATGTAGAACATCTGAGACCTAAGGTTTATGTTAAGTGCTCTCAAAATTCAACTCGGTTATCCAAACAGAGTTTGCCTCCAATGTACCCTTCATATTTCAGCTACCTGCCAGAAGTGGTCCCCTTTTTATTAAATATAAAGCCTACTGCAACAATCAATGAACTTGTCTTTCAGACAAGGGCAAGGTTTGTAATAACGTAATCTGCTTAAGAGCTTTTGTTGGGCTCATTTCAAAGTGAATACAGTTATGGTGCACAACAGTGTACACCACCATTTTAAACAAATGCATACATCTGTGTCTGCAGCACAAATGTATACCCTACCCATAAAATGTTTCATTCACTGCCGGCAAATGAATTAATATGGATTCACAATTCATGCATATGTCCTTTCTCTTTCTATTTTTTTCCATATGTACTTTCTCGCAGTTTCTGTTGTCTGTTAGGTGTTTTCTTTTCTATTCCTTACAGTCTCTTAGTATCACTCCTTCCTAATTTGTCTTTTCTTCTATTCTATCAACTTGTTCTTTAAGGACTAGAGATGCCTTGACCAGTTCCTTCATTACTCCTCTTACAGTTCACCAGTCTCCATTCTTTTAAACCAATAGGAAAGAGTAACGTCTTTCTGTCCAGGTTACTAAAGGTTGTCATTACATGGAGGTACTACATATAAGCTACTATAGGAACTGCATACATTGCGCATGTGTGCACAGCATGCTGTGCTGCCTAACTGGTATGTTATGCCTAACGTGTATGCTAATTTTAGGTGGGTATTGAAGCAGTGTTTGCCAAGTAAGTCCCTAAACTATTCAGGCAGTGGAAAAAGTTATTGGCTTTGAAGACCTCCAAAGGAAGTTTTTTCTGTCAGATCTTCTTAAGTCTGAATGGGACCTGGAGCTCCTCAGAGGTCTCCACCTCTCCCCAGTGACTATATGGGGAACATCAACACAGATCTGAGGAGAACTGCTTCATTAGATACTTAAAATTTAGACTCAACTTTGGCATCTGTGTTAGGCACACTGGATTTTCTCTGTGCTGAGAGAGATAGCGCAAGGCTACAAAACTACAGCTCACAAGGAGAATATCTGTTGGCTTAGCTATTATATCTGGACATACATAAGTGCAACTGATCCTAATATGGACCATACTACTACTCAACTGCAAATCAGTGCATTTGTTGACTATCCACCGAACGCTGCTGTAATGGCCAGTCCACCCATGATCATTTTCTTATAAAACAGGTATAAAACCTTCATTACAGTGTGCATGACTGTTTACATCTTGGGCTGCTAAAAATTATTTTGCCCAGCATCTCCTTTTCTGAATCAAACCCCAGTGCTTTGTCTTATCAGAATATTGGGCTGGGAAGCACATCTCTCAAGATAGCTCCCAAATCAACTTATTTTGTATGGCAAAATATACAAGCTGCTGTCTGACTGGAGAGTTCAGGGATTTTCTATGTTTAATTTTTTTTATAAAACCCATTGGTCTAACACCTTCACTCACCACTTCTTCCTCTGGTAAAATGTATTTGATACATATATATATGCATTTGAAAAACTTAAACTTATCTACATTATTTCTCAGAGTTAGCGGAGAGCAAGTTCCCTGTCTTATGGGAGACTGCATAAGCAAATAATAAAGCTGACAATCGCTACCATGGGGAATAAAGACTATATGGCAAATGAGACGCAAGAACGAACCTAAACAGTCAGGCACTTAGAGGTGGTGAGGGGTGGATTATGTAGCAAACTGAAAGAGAAAGTTAGACTGAAAGTCTGACTAACCCCAGATGGGAGCGTTTAGTTAGTGGAAGAATGGAAATTATTTTTAAGGAAATATTTAAAGAAGTGCTTTACACACCTCTATAAGAATTTCTTCCCCCCACCAGGAGATTTTTAAGAGATAAGAAGAGAGGCGAGATGGTTAAGGATACCAGTTAAAATGGATATATTTTAACACACCTCTGGTCTTTCAGGTCTCTCTCTCTCCATGGTCTTTCTCCTCAGAAGTTTTCTCACCCCTTTGTCAAACATCAGCTGCCTCTTGCTGTTGTTCATTGCTGCCTCATTCATTTTTCTCACCTGAGAAATCAGGAATGATGGGACCTAAAGGAGGGAAAATGGAGCTGAGCATATACAATGGATTTTCCCCCCTAAAGCTGGTCTTGGGGCTTTAAAGTGATGCCAAATTGTATGCACCAGAAGCTCTATTTATTCCCTGAAGATACCCGGGATTGTCAGTTTCCTCTACCATCCCACAGTTATTCTTTGGGTGAAACTGCAGGTCATTTTTCATACCATATAAAACTTTTTAGTCATGCTTGCAATTGTAAGAACTTCATTAGAAGGCTTTGTCATCTCCATCAACCTTCTCTCTGTTCTAAGGAAACAAGCTGGGACTGTCAACATTTTCAGGCTGACCTTCAGAAGTCCAGCAAGGAAGAAAGACTTTAGGCCCATATTATTTTGGGAGGGCTAAACTTTAAACAGTCATTTAATCTCATTCAAGTCTCGGGATCTCATCTAGGCATCCAAACTTAAGTCATCTACATCCTCCTATATAATCAAAAGTGTGGGATCGGTACGTCCAGAGGGCAATTCATCCTAAAAATAAGTTAAGAAAGATCTTAGTTAAGGTAAATCTCCTTCCGGAAGTATCAGTCTCCCTTCCTCATTCTAGAGATAGCAAAGCTCCAGCTAGTTCCCAAAGAGTAGCAAATAATTTCTTCTTGGAAGATCTGTTTACATTGATTTCTACAGAGCTGCAGCGTATCGCAAAATACTGTTCTATCCTGGAGACATAAAGAGGAAATCCTCATTACTCACTGTCCACAAGATGTCCTGGTACCTAATTAAAAGTCGCACAATGTGTGCGGTGGTGGCAGCTGCTTGCATTTCTTGTTGGTTTGCACGTTTGCCTTTGTAGATGAAGAGGTTTGGTGCAACAATCATAGAAACATTCCACAGATTCATTTTATTTTTCCCTTCATTGGCAACGACCTTCTTTAGGAACTGAAGAAAGGCCTGGAAAAAAAACACTTTTTATACTCAACCTCACAAAAGATTTTACTTCTTAAATGCAGCATTTTCAAATGCACAATGTGTCTGGCTAGAAAGCTGCAATATTTGCACTTGGAGGTGAGATTTAGGATTTTTTGCCTTCTAGCTTGAATTACCATGATATTCACTAGCATAACCACCCTTGTCAATCATAAAGGAATAGGATATCAAATATATACATTAATACATTATATACCACTTAGAGCATATCCCAAACCTATTAAAGTCAAGTACAGTATTTGCACTAAGGCTCTAAAGCTTCTAGTGGAGGAAAGGTATAAAGGCTTTGCAATAGAATCATTTATTTCTTCATAGGATTCAGGCTGTCCTTTTTGATGGTCAAGGCTTTTTTTCATGTTGCAGACATCTGGGTGATCAGTCTGTCTTTAGACATGCATCAGTCCCATATGTGATATAATCTGAGGCATTTCTGCTAGCAAACCAAAACTAGTTATGGGATAATGAAAGTAAGAAGTGCTCAGTGGTAGCTCTTTGAGGCTACTTCCGCATATGCATGGCAGAGTCAAAGGAAATTTGTTTCCCTTTTAGCCAGTTTATTCAGGACTTTGCCTGAGTGACTGAATAGGATGGATTTCTGTTCTGGTTAGAGCTGGGATCACCATACTGTTGAAACCGCTGTCTTCACACCCTGACATTGCAATTAAAACATTTTTACAGATCAAAGAAATACAAAACAGAAACTCTGTTGGAGAAATTTCTAAAATCTCATTATAGATGGCAAGTAGAGCAGTATTCCGTTTTGTTGTCATCACTTCTATTTTAGTACAAAACCCTAGGAATTATGAAAACTACTCTTCTATCACATACTGCTCTCTATATATGTATATGGACTTTGGTATGAAAAATAACCCCAGTTCTTCACAGAGCCATAGCAGACCTCCAAACACTTTAAAGATGTGGTCATTATTCTTGTCCTGTACCCACGAAGAAATATGGGTAAAGAAGACACCCGAATTCATAAAGCTACATCTAAACGGACATCTAAACTGACTCTCCTAGGCTCATGAGATAGGGGAGCTGAAGAAGCATTTAGGGGCTGGCTCTCAGGCAACTCATTCACCCAGCTTTCTCTCACGTGCAAACAAGTCCAAAGATGCAGCTGGTGTCTCTTAGCGTCACAGCTGCAGCCAGATCTGGGGGCTCCCAAGCACTCAAAATACTTGCAGCCGCAGTTTCTACCACAGGAAGTAGTACAGGCTAATGGACATGGGTTTGCGAAGCACATTAGCTGAGGCTGAGAACCTGACATCCATGCTATAGATACGTGTTTCAGGGGTTTTTGCTTTGGACTGCTTCCTCTAGTCCGGACCAGCAGACTTCAGTGCCCTTCAGCACCCAGAGTGCCCTAGGCGAGCTCCTGGAGTGCATCTTCTGTTTTAATTTTATTCCAAAGTTATACAGAAAACCTAGAAACTCAATCTTTTTTTTTTTTTCCAAACTATGGGAGGAAAACACATCTTTAAGATGGATATTTCAAAGCAAAAGATGTCCAGGAGTCTCCACTAACAGCAGTATTTGGATACTTCCAACAACTATTACTAATTGCTTGTAAAAGTAACTGCAGCCAGGGAATAGGAACACCTTTTACAAGGAAATGATAAGAAACACAGATGAATACTTCCATTGTGAAATATCTGTTAGAAATAAACTCCGTTTCTAATTATAAGAAAATAATTATATTATTATTATTAATAATTATATAATTTTAATAATAATAATAATTAATAATTAATAATTATAATTAGAAACTCCGTTTCTAATTATAAGTCAAAGGCACCACAGATGGAAGCTGAAAGCAAACAAAGCACATACCTTGGCTGTGTCTCTGTTGGCTTCAGGCAGCAGCATGATCAGCAGATGCAAAGCCTGTAGCTGTAACTTGATCTTGGAGATTTCTAAGAAAATGAATAATTAATATTTTAAGTCCCAATTACAATTGGTTTGTGCTAAAAGCCTTGCTGATCAATTGTGTTAGAGACACAACAACCACTAGTCAGTTGAGACCAGTATGTTTAAATACAGATTAGCAGTAACCTTTTTGCCAAATATCATACACTCAGTTTGATGAGTGGGTTTTTCCTCATTGTCTTGTGTCTTTCTCATAGAGTGAGACAATCCTATATAAAATTCTGCCTAAATAACAAATGTTCTATATTTTTCAGCGTTAGCCAGTTTCTCTTTGGTATCATCATGAGAATGTGTTGTACATGGACCTTGCCATTGTAATCAAGTGTTTTCTTCTTTCAAACTAGAATGGGTATTTGTTTTCATAAAATTTTCAGACTGATATTGTTGAGTAATTTGCTGAACCCATGCGCCCTTACACTCAAGCTTGATTGCTAATAACGTTAAAAGTTTTTGTGCCTTCTAGGAACAAATCTAGCACTCTAGATAAAGCAGAGCCCTGTGTCAGTAACAAAACATCATATTTTCAATGGTTGGTATATATTCATAAGGTGTAATTCTCCATAGAAGAGCTGGGGTGGAGAAGATGGGAAGGGCATACACTAGCTCTACCACTCACTTCCATTCAGGGTGGATGAGAGAGGTTCAGGGGAAAAACTGGAGTGCTGGAAACAGTGCCTTTTATTGGGAATAAAGTCACTTTTTTCTGTGCAGATCCCTCCTATTCAGTCGTTTCTCCCATGATAAACGACTGTAACTGCACGCAGCCTGGGACTCATAAGGAGGATGCACAGGTATGTGAAGGTTACAGGAAGGTGCCAACTCTTCGTGCCTTTTAAAACACCTCATGGAGACACAGAAAACTTGGCTGTAAACTCGTAGAAAGGTTCTCATTTTCCTGTACCAACTGATGGAAGCACCAATAAATGCACCATCCTGATACTCTCACTCTATCTGAACCAAAGTGAATTTAAACTAAAGTCAATAGGTATTGCCAAGTTCTACTACATCCTTCATTGAAGGAAAATGAACAAAAAGTACCAAGAATGAGATGCTATGTGTACACTGAAAACAAAAACAAACTGTCTTCCTTAAGAACATATATTTTTGTATAAATATTCTGATCTCAGCATAAACTTTAAGAAAAATAAAACAGATCTAATAAAATATTAACTAAAGTGCAGTGATTTGAACTTGTCTTGCAGAAATTTTCATCTGTGAACTCTATAATTTCTGTGAGTCAGAGTCTATATATGAAAGACATCATTGCTCAACCATCATTTGCTCACAAGGTTCAAATCTCACACTAAATAGCTGCGTCAGTCACAAAATGAGTCTATATTCTTAGCTAAATACGCAGACTTTTTTCCACCTGAGAAGGAAAGCTTGCAGAAAAATTAAATGTTTAGGCAATGCAGTTGACCTCTGTACTTAAAACATTTCTGCATTTCATCCTGAGCAGTTTAACTCCTTTTCCACCTACTTTCTACTAATGTGATGAAAGCAGGTAGATATTCTACTGTGAAGAGAGGGCTTGGGAGTTCTCTTATAAACATTTTCAGCAGTCCTGCTGCATCATTATTTCGTACTTGGTCCCAGTCGAAAGTGTCCTCGTAAAATTTTGCCTCAAGTTCTTGATGGAGATTCTGAAAGATAGAAGAAAGCATCTGACCCTTAATCATTGCTTCTGACTTGACCGTTTGAGATCATTTCATAAACCTTATTACAAACAACAGCGTACACCATAGCTGAGTTAAAGTAGCCCTAAACCAGTAGTAACAGTCTCGATACAGTAGCATGGAGTTCAGAGCAGACTAGCTAATCAAATGCCTGGGGATGTTTTGCAAACCAGGCTAAATCTTGTTTGTCGTAGCTAGATATCTGCCAGTGACATATTTGAAGAAGTTTACAGCAAGATTTCTTTGCGCAATGTAGACTTTGAAACAAAAAAGTCAGTTGAATCAGGTTTTTATAACAATTTTTTTTTTAATTTAAAACACTCTCCACACTCTCCAGAGGCTTTGACCCTTAAATCATAAAGGATTGGAATATTCTTCCTTATTACCAGTTAACTTGCTAGAGAACCTGTTGGTATTTTATTCTATAGGCCTTAAGCCCGTGATTTTAACCTCAGGGCTTCTTGTCTTTAGACAGGTGGGGGTTTTTAAAGATAAGAATCATTAGATTTGATTACTTCATAGAAAAATAAAGGTATCAAATCATTACTGTCAGAAAATCTCCACTTGATACAGGCCAAAAAAACTCCTAAAAATCTAAGAGATATCTAAGCTAGAATCCACTTTAATCCACTTATTCTCCAGTGTCAGCATTTTGCTTGATAATAGAAGTCTATTTAGTTTTGGAGGCTAACTAATCAACTTTTTGTGCATGCGTGAAGGGAAATATTCAGTAATGTTCCAAGTGGGAGGAGAATTTGGCTTCAAATCCAAATTACTCTTTGGAAAGTGCAAACTCGATCAAAAATTTGTTGGGTTAATATGATTGAAGGAGGCTGTTGTAATACAAGGATATTAATAAATTATGCCGCTTCCATAGTTGTTACTGGCCAAAAACTTTGCCTTACCTCCATTAACTTTGTTACTGTCTTCCATGAGACCATCTAAGAGAACGTAGATCTGTAGCTGACATTCCGGTTTCAAAGCATGTTTTTTTTTAATCAAATGTTCATTATTATTATGCAAAAAATTAGTCATTTCAGAGAGAAAAGCTTTTAAAAAACGAAGTCTGTTTACTGTTCCTCACATGAATGGAAGGAAATTACATATCAAATCTGGTCACACATAATGAAGTGAAATAGTTGGCACAAAAGGAAATACAAAGTCATTCAGGATTTTATGTATAAAGTTACAATCTCATTTTTATTAGCACATTTTACTGGTTGTAATCTGTGCTATCTCAGCTTCCTCTGTATTCACATCCCTTGCACATAATCCATACAAATACTTGGAGTAAATTCTCTCCTGATAACCGACTAGCAAATGTGGAACAGAATTCCTCACCTCATCAAAAGCACAAAAGGAAAGAAACTCCTCAATATTTTTCTGCTGAGAATTGTGAAAAAGCCTTAGAAATGGAAAGCAAGATTTTTGAAACATATACACTATATACCTATCTGTACACAGGCAAGCTTTACACTTTACGTGTGTGTGTGTGTGTGTGTGCGTCTATAAACACACATATTTTTATGTATGCATCTAAATATTTTTAAAAAATACTTTTGTATAGCAAGTTTTTTTTTTTTTAATTTAATGAACCCCACCGTAGACTAGCATGCATTTTTAGTTTTTTGGAGCTTTTGTTACAAACCATAGACTAGAGAGAGAGGAAAACCTGTATTTATTTTTTCTAGTCTTTGTTTCATAGAAAAGTAACCTTTAATCAGTTCCATATGCCTTTTATTTCTCCAAACTAGACTGAAATAAAATTGGAATGCCCTCAAATCCTAATGTCATAATAATGTATGAAGGCTTTGAAGGATGAAATCTGACTCTGCTTTGGAAAATCTTCTCTCTCTTGCTGGTTGGCTCATTGGACAGACATAAATGAATCCAAAACTCATATAATTTAAAACTGTCGTGTGGGAAGTTTAACTTACCACCCAGTAAAGGAGAGTTACACACGCAGAAACTCATGTCTCAAAGCAGTTCCCTGGATATAGTTGTGAATAAAAATAAGAAATAGTACAGATACAAAGAATATGAAGATGCAAAGAACAAGGAAGTCATTTAATAAGGCAAGAGTAGAGCCCTGCTGTGTAATCTCCCTCGGGATGTTAGAAAAACTGGAGATTTTATGAAATAATATTTCAAGTATTGCATGAAAAAATGAGGAAGTTGAAAAGTACAGGCCAAATTAGGGGCTCCCTTCTGCAAGATGTGGCACTTTGCAAAGTGTTGAGTGCTTTTATCAGTCCAGACTGTTAAATGGAGTTGGGATGCTACTGCCTATCTTTGGTGCGTGTCACATAACGCCTCTCTTTCTCATATGGTGACTTTTAATGACCTCCAGCCCACCAACATTGAGCAATCCACAACATTCCTCTTTTCTCCTTTGTGGCTGCCACCATGTTGCAACTGCCTGCCTTGGATAGGAAAAACAGTTTTCTTCTGGATGAGAAAGTGGGAGGTTATCGCGATGAGAAGTCGCTTGAAGTAGACCAAAAAAAAAAAAAGTGGGAAAGAGGTAGACATCATTAAGTCCAGAAAAAATCTAAACTTCCTAATGATTTAAAGAGGATAAGGCATCTCAGACAAAGGCTTCCAGCTCCTAGCATGAAGAAGGAGTTAGGATGGAGAAACAACAGCAGCTCTTACTACACTGCAGTTACAGATATGAGGTTATTGGGCATGAACTGCCCTGTGTCCATAGCCAGCAAATAGGCTTCGAAAATTTAGTGTTCTAGGCTGCCAAACTGGGAATGCAGCCCAAATTTCTCTCACTCAGGACATGAAATTGTAATATCACAGAGGATAAGTGAGAAATGAAATCACACAAAGGTTGAAGTGACATGGAATAAAATCTTTATCTTGCGTTTGCTCAGTTTGGCAGCTCTGGATTTCTGAAATAAATTAAAGTAGAGATAAGATCACAGCAATTTTGGATGACAGAGATAAACTGAAAGGCTCTCTCAATGTTTAGTGGAGAGAAATTGGACTAAATATCAAGTCTATGCTTTAAATAGAACATTAACAAATGCAAAGCAATAGCCCACATGTTCTGTGATTTATTGGTTCCCAGGAACCAATCTGACCTTTTGCTAGTAGGAATGGAAATGCTGATCTATACACATCAGTATCTATGTGCAGGGTGTATTTATGTGCACTGTACTATTTTACACAGAATCTGTGCCAGGAGACAGAAAACTGGGACGAGCATGTACCTTAACTCTTGAAGCAGATCCAGGCACTCGAAGAATTCCTTCAGTTTCTAAACCTGTTTCCTCAAGCTTGAGTAACAACTGAAAAAAATAACCCGGAAAGATAATCAGAAGTATTTAAAAATACTGTTAACTTTTTTCAATCTAGGTGTCCTTGAAATTAATTTGAAAAAGATACATTTCTATATAATTGGCTAATGAAAACAACAGAGCTCGTGTAAGTAATCATTCCTAATTTGACTTCCATACACCTGACCCTGAAATACGGAGCTGGAGAGTACGGAAACAGAATAACACACTAGCCCCTTCTATCCTTGACTTGAGACTTGGCACTGCTGTGGAACAAGTAACATTTATATGTTACTTGTCATGTGTTAATAAAAGCGCAGGTATATAGGCTAAATCACAATGGTGTTTAGAGGGGAAATTTAACCTCTGAGACAAACGTTGAGAAATATCTCACATCGAGGAGCACCAAGAGAGGACTATAGGTAACATATGCTTCTGGGAACTGAGAACTCAGATTAGAAAATGATCCCAGGATATTTTATTTTTGAATTTTCTGTGAATAGAGGCATAAGCTTTCCATTTAATCCTGTATAAAAATTAAATAGGTTTTGATTTAACAGAATGTAAAATGAGCAAAAAAAGAAAATAATTTCCCAGTATTTATTCACATAGCTTTGGATTTTCACTACCTATTCCATTAGATTCCTGTTTGCTGTAGCAGTTGGATCCTTCTGATTTCCTATCCTAACTTGACAGGGAAGCTGGTGGAGATGATTGAAAAGACATGTAAACATTCAAGTTATATCAGTCTTAAATATATCAGTGGTCACGGTCTACCCCCTGACACCTTATCCTGCTTCCCAATCTGTCAGTATTTACAAAGAAATTTATTGTAATTTGAAGTCTACGTAAATCTGTGTAGTTCTTTGTGTGCTTGTGCTTGTGCGTGTCCAAGGCATCCACTGGATGTCACTGTATTGTCAAGTGATTTATTTAAATGACATCTTGTCATACAAACCTTAAGGAGAAGATACCACTTCCAGTATGGAGGTAGTATCTACAGTTTGAATTCATATGAAATTAAAACTCCTGAGAGAATTTCTTTCTGCTCTTTCTGCACCCATACACCATTTTGCATGGCTCTGAAATTCAATGAGAAACGGGAGCAGAAAGCCAGCCATCAGTGTCCTGATGTTTCCTGCATGGTACCATATAATTCCAAAATTGGAAAGAGGTCCTTATGATAGATAAAATACACAAAAGGAGCATTTTTTTTTCTCCATCTCATGAAGTGTTTAAAACACAACATATAGACAGAAAACTTATAGACAGCTTGTAACCTGTAAAGCCTTAATCTTTTACCTGATTTGTGTGTCAATGCTAATCACGGAAATAAATGTCTGAGTGGCCAAACTGGTTGTGTTCTACTCACTTTTTGGAAGATGAGAGGAACTTTTATGCCAGGAACCTTCTTCTGATCGTTATCCAGCAGTACTGTGAGAGGGACTCCAAAAAGACCATTTTCTTAAAAAATAAAAATAGCCAAAGTGAAAGAGAGAACATACAGCCTCAAACACGTCTTCTTACCAACTCTGAGAATTGCCCAGATGCCCGCAGTGCAAACACCGTGGTGCAGTACCTCGTCCTTTGATTCTTTCCATTCTGTTCCTCTTCAGTTCCACCCCCAGAGCGTCATAGAAGGCTGTTAACTCAATCAGGGAGAGGTAGCGGATCTTCTTCATGTCCTCAGGAGAAAGGTCTCCAACGTCTGTCAACCCAAACCGGCTTTTCCGAACAATGAATTTCTGCAGTAGAGATGGGTTGAATATTTATTTATATAAAAATTACAGTGAGTGAATTTTGTTTTTGAAAGATGTCCATATGTAATAGGAAGACCTAGTAAATCACCAACACCAAAGAGCTGATCTGCACTCCTATATATTGGCATGACATATTGACATAACCTTAGACAATCTGGAATGTAAAACTGAGCTTCTTACTCGTTACGTTCACTTGAACTTTGGTTGGTAAATTTTGCTGGAGCAGAGATGTCAACCTCAGTATCCCAGCCATATTCCAGTTGGGAACAATTAGCTACATTCTAATTAAGCTTTTGCCCAGTCTCCACTGGATATAACGCTTTGCTTTGTTTCTGCCTCTCCCGGAAGCTGATGAAGTAGCTGACGCATTTCACCACAAATATAGTCATATATCAATGATGGGGAGGAGGCAGGGGGGAAGGGGGTGAATCCTTATCTGTTTGCTTCTTAGAGTCAATTTTTGAGGTCTTACGGGAAAATGAAGGCTAAGTATCTAAGTTAAAGTCCCAAAGCAAAACCTCTTAGTCCTGCTGCTAACCTGCCGTCTACTGGCATATTTTATTACTCAAAAAGCATTTAGGCTGAGAAACAGGACACCTAACAGCTAAGAAATAATTTATTCAAGTAGGCTTCATGCATCTTTCACATGAACTAAATGATACTTAGCAATTTTGGGGGCTGTGAAAATGTTTATATATTTTAGAAACTGCAGCAGCATGCACTGGAGTCAGCAATGTAGCATTATGCCATAAACTTTTGCGCAAATGTGAAAAAGAACCAAGACCTATCAGTTTTTGACATAATTGTTGTAAATAATAACAATGCTATAGTAAAATATATGCTTCTCAAAGCAGTGTGGATCTTGGTATTGTAATTTAAACCAGTAATTGTTAGTCATAGGTATAAATAAAAAGCATTACAAATCATCTCCTCCCTTTAGGGAGCTGAGTGGAAATCAAGCCTTTAGGAGTGCTTCGCTTCTGGGAATTTCAGCACAGTCCTCCCTTCTTATTAAACGAATTTGGGCTCAGTAGATTTAACTCATCTCTTGATAAAGCCAACCAAACAGATCAAGAAAAAGGCAAACAAACAAAAGAATTTATCACAGACCAGAATTCAGAAGCAAGAGAAGACAAAGAGGAGCTAGATCACCTACGTCTATATCACATTCCACATTGCCTTTCAAGTAGGAACTAGTTTTAACTAGAGGAGAGAGCGTAGGGTATGGAATTACCAGTTTATACAATGTATTACCAATTTTAGGCCAGAATCTTCCCTCCGTAGAATGTGACATTTCCACTGTTACTTTTAAGCTGAGACTTAATAATGCAAGTAAATCTACAGGGAGGACAGTCTTCCAAAGATACATAAAAAGCTAAAGAATTTCTATGTATTTTTGTGTTCCATTGATGCAAAAAGCCCAGAAGCAATCAAAGCATAATAAATCATTTTGAAAATAAGAAAAAAACTGCACAGTATACATATGTTTTCTGAGAGGAGGGAGAAAAAAAACATAGGCAATAATAAAGGCTCTTTGCGAGCGCACTTGCCAAGAAAAAATCCCAGACTCTCCATAACAGATTACAAAGAACAGCTACGACGATTTTCCATGGTGGCTGGTTGTCTGCTAGGGTCATTATGATGTGATACAGTGTTAACACAAGGTTTGCGGCTGTGCCTCTTTGTAAGAAAAATAACTGGAAAAGACACAACAAACAGTGGAGTCATAACATTATGCAGTATTGAAGGTGGCTTTGGTATTCTGAAATTAAATTACTAGCATTTTGGATAAAGATCGTCCCTGATACTGTTTGACGTATTCTTTATATGTGGAACTATACAGTGTACTTAGATGGGCTTAAAACGCATACTGACTTTTAGATCTGTAATATCTTTGACTGAGTCACGTGGATCATGGTCCCATGTTGGGGAAATTACACATAAGACTGTGAGGGAAGGAGTGCGGTTCTGGCACTTCCTTCTCGGAGTCACACAAGACATGACATTATTTAATGTATAATGTCTCTCCCTGCAGCTCATCCATCAAGCTGGCCATATGACTGTACCAGACCTGCCCTGGATGCCACACTAACAAGAAGTTGTGACATTATGTAGACTTCAGTCTGTCAATTCTGGCCCAGTTGGAGGATGAGGGGCGGAAGGGATAGTTCTTCTTCAGTGTGCAGGCATCATTCTGTGTAACAGAGCAAGAAGTGATTTTTCACTAGTGCCCATTACAGTCTGAGCTACTATAGGGAAAGAACAGATACCAAGAGTGGCAGCACATGAAGTAAGAGAAATGCCAATGTCAACAGCTACAATTATTGGCTTTATTTAGAAAGTCTTCCTCTGTGATCATCTAGTATATTTCTCACATACTCTGAGCACTCAGAACATTGCTCTCCATGCAGTTCACCTTAAGCACATTTCTGGCCTTTTCTAAAACTAATCATTTATTCACCTATAGGTCCATGCTCCTCAATGTAGCACCTTCTCTTCCCTATTTGTCACCGATCTCCCTCCTTTATCATCCAGAAAGTTAGCTCCACAGCAGTTGCAGAGAATAATTTGTGTGTGTGCGTTGCAGTGAAGGCTAGGGTCCTAGGTTTTCTACTACAAGGAGCAAGAAGGAACCCTCATTTTGCCGTAATCATGATGAATACAGAGGTATTATTATTCTCCTCAGGGCACCAAGCTTATTCCCACCACAAAACAACCAGACACACTAAAGCACAGCTGCAATCTGTTTGGTATCTAGTACTCCTTTCAACAGGAAAGCTTACTTCTGCATCTCAAGTCCTTCATCCTTAGTGGGGCCTGAGATAGATAGACAAATGGATAATTTGCAGTGAATTCAGTATCTGTGTGGACAGCAGCAATTCTGGATTAGTTCAGGATCTCAGGATACCATAACATTCAGGAAATGCTTCCAAACAGTTAACAGCTATTTCATACATTTCACTAAAAAGGTGGTATCTAGAGCACACACCTCATGCTCCCATTTTCAGTAGCGAAATTGTGAAGGCTGATGGAAAGAGAAAGTTATCTAATGGCTTCAAGGAAGAATTCAAGGTAGCTGCATAACCAGTCAGCGCATGTCTAGTTGGATGAAAAGATATGATAAGCTTTCCTTTAACTTTTGACATAGTAACGCTTACATCATAATTGTGCTGACTAGTAATCGGAGACAACCGAGCAGCAAAGGTTTGCTTTTCCCCTATGGCCACAAAACAACTTTAAATTCATATATTAACAAATCTGTGCGGGAGTAAAGTACGAAAGCAGACCAAGTAACGAAAATGATTGCTAGTATTGCTACCAGTAACTTGTCTTTATTTCCAGGTGAAAAATGTGCAGACGATGCTGTTTTTGTGGACTGAGTTATACAGACTAATTTGTGATGGGTACAAACTAAGCCCATGCTTGAAAATCCCGTTTATCTTTGGTGGCCTTCTGGGAATCAGAGACGTATGAGGTAGGCACCCACAGCAGGAAGTCTCTGCGAAGCACACATAACTAAGAAAATCTAATATGTCTTAACAGCCTTCAGTGTGCTGGAGCTATAAAGCAGGAAATTAATGGGTTAAAGAAAACAACTGAGGAGATATTCAGAGAATAAACTTACAGGCAAAGCGGAGTCGTCCTTTTTGAATCTCTGGTTTTTCTGCCATTCTCGGGTTTTTGGAACGACTGTAATGGACTCCGAGAAAGAAACCTCGTAGGAGAGCTCTTCTGTTACCGATGGGCTGCCTTTATCTAGTCCACAGTCTAGACAGCTATTAGCTGAAAACAAGGGAAACTATATATGAACACTGAATGTATGTTGGCTTTCAGTACAGAGACATTAAAATTTTGACAAGGATGACAAAAATCTTGAGAAAGTAATAAGGGAAGTGCTTCAAAGAGGAATTTCAATGTAAAACACAGCATGTTCCTGTTTTGTCTGGAGGAAATAACCCCTTGGAAATAAAATCCCTATTTTCATTTTAGATTATTTTACTTGTTGCTTTTCGTGAGAAAGACAGTCAAGCTGTAACTTCCTGTTTATCAGGAACTACCAAGTTTTTGTACTCTGTCCTTGTCTATCCAGACCAGGCAAACTATGTTGGTACTTGTGTAATGAACAATTAAAAATAAAAGTTCCTGACAGAAAATGCTGTCGACACAGTTTCTCAGTTTCTCAATAAGTTGACTTATTTACACTCAGAACACATTGTGTGTATATTTATATATACTCACATACATAGGTACTCACATTTCCCACAGTTGCTACTTTAGGTGTACAGGACCAAAACAGGACTCAATGTACAATCTTCTAGTTTGCAAAACACTAGTTCTACTGGAATTTCTGATAGAGATTGTGAAACAATTTATTGCTGTACTCTAAAATGTAGTTGCCTCCTGAAATTAATGGGTGCCACAGGACAATTTTTCAAATCAAGTAGCGAGTACAGAAATACTCTATTGTCATGGAGTCCAAAGTGTAATAATATGCATGAGTTCCAGTGGTGTCAACTTTCACGATTTATCTCCCACATCTCAGGACATTTTAAATTTTTCCCTTAAGATCCAGCTCCTAGACTCATGCAATTCGAAGATAATCACAGCTTTCATTGAAAGTGAAGTAAAATTTCAGCCCCGAGGACTGCAGCATTCAAAAGCCATGGAAATCAGAAGGTGAATTAAAAATTTTTACATGTTTTATAAACATGTGCATGTCCCATGATTTTTGAATCTTTATGATTGCAGATACAAGGACTTTTGCAACACCCTTTGTTTTGGCACAAATTGAAATTTGGGTATAAATAAAGCTAAGTGTGTTATTAAATAATTTACAAAATAATGTTATGCTTTTAGATCCCACAAACCTGGCTTCTGAACTGTGGCCTTAGATTGCAGCCTTGTGTTATATATTATCTAATGGCCAAGCCATTTTAAGATATTTTCCATCCCTCCTTCTCAGAGCTGGTACCACAGACCCTCCACTGTGCCCCTGGCAATTTACTCCCCATCTGTTCTAAGATAATTGCTTGAGCAGCAGAAGTATCACCAGAACAGTGAAATGATAGGGCTTCTGCGACCAAGGAAGATGTTTGTGGCACTATATCTATAGGCAAAAGTATAAGGGACTAATTTAGAAACTCCAGGATTAATATCCCTTTAGGTAAGTCCTGAAAAACAGTAATGGGATGAGCTTTCAAAATAAGAGACAGTCATTCACCTGGAAAGCTGCTGACAGTTATTTGGATGCTAAGTAGGGCACAGTCACGATTTTTATTAGCACTGCCAATCACTGCCAGGGCAGTGTCCAAACTGACACCATTAGTAGACCAGAATAATAGGGGAGAACCAGAAAAATGATGAATTTCTAACTTTACAATTTCTACAGTACTGGAGAAGAAATACGAAGGAAATACGCATCTTTCTTATTATGATTCACAACAAGAAAATACGCTGCTGACATATTTTGGGCAAATTCTTCATCGTGTTGTTTAGAGGTTATTTTTACATTCCCAGCACTGACAGGATCAACACTTCTTAGACTTCACTGCCTCAAGGGCAGGAGTCGGTGTCTGTACAACATCAGTTGTGAATGGAAAACTTTGGTTCTTACATGACAATAAGCTGATAATGATCTTAAGAAAATATATTCAGCATGTCCCCAATGCAAAACAGGGGACTGACCTCACCACCACAGACGGATCTTTCTGTCTATAATTTCTAGGAGGAAGTGAACACTGGTTACACATTGGCATACTCACAGCTAACTGATTTCCAAACTGGCTTCTGCCCAGGAAGCTGGATACCATTAGAAGGAACTGGTGACACTGGAACTGTCTCAAATGTGGGCTGATAGGCAAGGAAAAATGATCAGACTGCAGTGAAAGTAAAAGTCTATGGACAGAAACCGCTACAATTCAAGCAACAGTGCATCATTCTCAGCTTACATTGTTTTGTGAAATTTAAACAACCTATTGTGATTTGCCAGAGTACATTTTTCATAGCAGAGCCTGAGAATTAATCTTTCTCAGGCTGCACAGATATGGATCATGTTGAGGTCAGTATTATTACAGCTCTCTGTAGCTAATGAGTCCTGCCCTACATAATGCCTGAAATTAGCTAAGTATATTGCTGTGTGTAATTGTACTAAGTGAGAGGTTTTTGTCAAATTGTAATCCATCCTGCTTTTAATCACTTTGGTCACAATTCTGTCTGAGCACCCTCTGACACATGTTGAACATCTGCTGCTCCCAAGCACCTGTCAAATCAGGCTGTTCACCAGCTTTCCAGATTTGGGCACCAGCAAATTACTAATGGATGGCCATCCTTCACTGGGTTATGTACTCACACTTTGTCAGAGAACTGCAAAAACAGTTTTTTGGGAGGGGGGAGACCTTTTGTGTATTCAACTTCATTTGTTCCTGTTCCAGAAATTATTCTGCACTGTGGTAAAAAATGAGGCAAGAGTGTGCAGCACAGCAGAGAAGGGGCTCTGAAGCCCAGTGGGTGACTTTCAAGCAGTATCACCTTTTCTTGGCTGCTGCATTTTGTGCTTGTGCTCAGCAGTTTTGGGACTTATCATAAAGACAAATCAGTGTGAATGTGTTAGGGGGAGGGTAGCAGCTCACCTGCATGTTCTTGGGTGAAAAAAGGGCAGGATATAAAAAAAACGCTCTGAAGGGCAAAAACGTCTAAACTGCTCCAAACCAGCCTTTTTTTTTCTCTGCTCTTTGCATCCCACTGGGAGCTGTTGGAGTCCCCCTGTTTCTCCAGCCCTACTGCCTCACACCTGACTTTGCTATCAGATGCCACCACCTCCTAACAGAGCCTAAGAGCAGCCCCCGTCTTGCTAGCTGAGCGTGCAGCTGAGGGCCCCAATGAACCCACTAGAGTCGCTCTTCAAATTGCTCTTTAAATTGCTCAGTCGGCTGCTTATCAACAAGCAGCAATGCCTCAGGGCATAGCATTCTGTCTTCCCCATTTGTAGTCAATGTACAGGAGCAGCTTGCAGGTGAATAAAAAAGTCAGGTATTTAAGAGAGGCAGCCCTTCCAATTGGAAGCCTGAAATAATGTGGTGGTCGTTTTATTCAGTCTTATCCTCTGAGCTATTTGGGTAACAAAGTCAAATGTAACATGAATAAAATCTCTCCTGAGAGAGTCTATTCAACAGCCTACAAACTTGATAGCAAACAGGATTTGAGTCACATGGATTTCCTTTGCCAGGAGAATGTAAGGACTGTTGATTTTTTTTTTTAAGGAGAACCGTCAGATGCTTTTATAAGAAAACCTCATAACATTTATACAAATGGTTTTAGGACATAAAAAAGCAATGCACATTTCAGGTGGGAGTATGGAAGTGGCGGGGACAGTTAAACTTGCCTCTGCAATTTGGGCAAATCAAACATAAAAGTAATTATTCCACTGCTTAAGATCCAGATGGAGAAATGAATGACAGACATTAGCAACTGGATCATCTACTTTCACTGCCCATAGTGTGTGACCTTGAAAACAGTATTCAAAATAGGATTACAGTGAATCTAAAGTATATTTGAAAAATCCTTCCAGTCTTGATACACAGGTGAAATCAACAGTGAAGAAGCTGCAGTAAGCAGTTTTTGCCAAGTGCTGCAGAGCTGAAAGAGGGGAGCTGGCAGCAAAACTCTGCCTCTCACCCAGCAGTGCTTGGAGGAGCCTCGAGGCTGCTCTAGCTTGTTGCAGTTGAATATGATGAACCATGTACTTACTATACCAGGATTGGTGGGAAAAACACCATATTCTTGCTGTCATCTCCCAGACACCACGGGGAAAGTAATAAAGAAGCCAAGTCTTATGATTATTTGGTAGGAGTGTCTTCCAAACAGGATCAGGATTTTTTTTTCCCCTCTTCTCCCTCTCCTTATCTTATGTTTCTATTACACAAGGAAAGGGAAGACTGGAGGGGAAAAAAGCTTTTTAATGCATACATTTCAGAGGTCTATATTGTTTTTTTAGCAAATAAGATTAAAGAAAAAACCTAGGAAGCTTATATCTTGATGAATGTGAAAGGCCAAGAGTCAAATTCTGTCCTTCGCTGAATTGGGACAGCTTTACTGATTTGGCTGGGGCTCCAGTGAAGGCAAGACTTCACATATCCTGATTTCTGACTGCAAGTGATTCATTAGACACTTCTCATTATCTGACGCTAAAAATGAGCCCAATGTTTACTAGTACAATGTACATAGGAATTTCCAATGGGAAGAGGAAGCCAGAACAGCAAGAAAAAGATGGAGATGAGATGGATAGTTAGTTCTTTAGTAGCTGCCTTCATTGTAGAAGATGTAAAAACAAAGTAGTGCAGCATCAGAACAACAAAATTCTATTGTCAGCCCTGCAGCTAAGGGAATAAAAACAGAGGAGGTTAGCTTTATAGATCCATTCAGGATATAAGCTGCCAGTGCTTTGGATATATTTGTATTTTCAAGCGCTGTCATCACAAATGCCTTTTCATGCAAACAGCTCTGGGTTAGTTAGTGATTCTTCTTCAATTAGGACTGATTTCCTCATGCATCGCCCAAGCAGAATGCTTGTAAAACTCCTGAGGAGTTTTAGCTGATCACAATGTACAGGGCCGTTAATGAACACGGCACTTCATTTCCTCCCCCAATAAAAATAATAACAATTATTTCCCCCATTTGTATTCTGCTCTTGATTTTCCTGGGCTTTGAGCACCAGCAGATCCGCTGGCCCTTACTGGAAGCAGCGGGGGACCAGCACTTGCGAAAATCAGGCCACTATGATTAATAAGCCTTCCAGTTTAACTCTACCCTGCAGCCCACAGTGGTGCCTTGGGCTCAAGGCTGCGGGATGCGGTGCTGCAGCACTGCAGTCGGGGCGGGCAGCTTTGCCCAGGCACTGCTGCTCCCCGGGGGATCACAGCACCTGCCCAGAGTGGCCAAAAAAAAAAAAAAAACAAAGAAAGGAAAAAGAAAGAAAGAAAAGAGAGAGAGAGAGAGAGAGAGAGAGAGACTGAAAAAGAGAAGGAAAAAAAAAAGCCTGGCTCCGTTTCCTTTCACTGCAGCTCATTTGGGCTTGCCTCCGTTTTTACCAGCAGCGAAGCTGAACACCATTCTGGAGGAACAAGGAAAGAAAATAGCAATAAAAGTCTAGCATGCAGAGCTTTTTCAGAACAGAAGGAAGAAACTAGGGAAAATCTCTTTCTTTTCCTCTAGATGACAGCTATTTATGCAGCTTCAGCAGTCACCACTGTAGTCCTGTAAATCTCATCTCAGGTGATCCTGGTGAGCTAATCACCTTTTCTCTCATCATTAGCCATAGAAGAGAATAATCTATCCTGTGACCCACCCCAGGCTGCTGTATTGCTTAAACTGATGGGAAGATGTAAATCCAGTCTCCTAGTGGGTAGTATTATAGAAAGAGTTACACAAAGCAATTAGAGCTATTTTTGCACATTAACTTTTCAAAAATCAGGATGGGAGAACAAAAACTCCTGCATGCCGTTTCAAAAAGTCTTTTTTACCAGCTTTTTTCCAGCAGCTGTGCTGAAAAGATTTTCTCTCCCTACCCCCGGTTGCTCTTGGTTTTTGACTGGGTTGTTTTTAATCTACACAACTTTCCCAAACTGATTCATCGTAACGACTCACCACCAGCTCTAGTGCCATAACCAAAGAAACAGCACAGCGATGGGGACAGTTTAAACTAATTTTGCCTCACAAAGAACTGCTCAGGAAACTGCACGTCCAGCTTCGGATACAGACACCCACTAAAGTGCTGCACTGCTGCAGCAGTGATTCAGCAAATGCCTCAGTTCCTGAGGAAAGAGGTGATAACTGGGATAGGCTCTCTAAATCCCACGGTGAGTAGCAGAGATAGTGGCAACGGGGATGCCCAGAGGGCATTGGGAACCTAGCAGACCTTTAGAAACAAAATCCCCTTCCTAGCCCATCCTAGGGAGTTGAGTTTGTGCTCTGCAGCTGTGTTTGTGTATCAGTGTTTAACGTTTAGGCAAGCACCCTGTAGAACTGCATGTTTTTGTGGGAAGAAGGAATGAGAAGTCTTAACAATTACGTTTGCAGGCTTATCTTTCAGGCTTTCACAATGCAGAACAATTAAGTGAGCTGAATTTCAGAAAAGGTAAAATGCTGATTTGAAGGACAATGGTCCTGGAGCTTCCGATACTTTAGCAAGTGAGAAACAGAGGAGAAAAATAAGCAGGTCAGAAAAAAAATCAATAATGTGTGCATTCAAGAGAATGCGTACAACATCCATTTGGCTGACTGAAATTTAGTAGAAAACTTAAACTCTATTGCAAATTGTAAATGTAGTAAGGTTTGCAGAAATCTGAAACAGGACAAATGTGCTAATCTAATAAGTGCCATCAGCTTTTTAATATTCATGCAAACATGCCTGAGGAGTTCTCATGCAAGAAAGTCTGCCCACAGGAAACTGCTGGGTGCCTCTGGATATATTTGTGGGATATGAGCACAAGGTTCAAAAGAATCTAGATGCTTACATTGGAGACCAATAAATTAAGCCCCCCAACCATTATATTTTTGGAATCCTAATATAACAATGCCTCTATGATTTTGTTTCCCAATGTTTTAAATTCGGCTGGAATGGCAAGCTTGGGAAGAAGGAAAGGCAAACAGAAAGGGACAAAGCAAATTTACAGAAAGAAAGATTTTCTTGGGGTTTTGTAAGGATAAAAGCTTTAATATTCATTTCAAAGATGAGCTTGTGAGCTTCTCTGTGACTCCTGTGTAAAATAACTTGAGTCACATGTCTAAAGTCATGCATGTTGCTTTGAGCATTGGAATAAATTCACACAGTTGACTGCATTCCCCAAAATAAAATGTGTAGGGATAAGAATTGGTGCATTTAGAGCTATCCGCAGGGAGAAGTGGATGAAGCCACCAGAGGCAATGCTCATTTCTAAAGCCGTGAAACTAATGAACAGTTAATAGAATTTTGTTTGCTATATAAGTGAAACGTAACTGCCAGTGTACCAGTTGCAATCATGCCGGCAGGCGTTTAATTTCATATTTATATCTGAACCCCAGTTGCTTCATTAGAGAAGTTTTACTTCACTGCTGAGGCTGCTGAGTAAATAGCAAGTGTCCCCAGAAGCCAGCAAAAGTTTGAATAACCGCCAAGAGTAACTCACCAATTTCCAAAAAATAAGGGAGTAAATGTTAGTCTTGATAGGAGACTGCAGGAGGAAGGCTGGCAATAGATACAACATTATGATATAGGTTAGTTGCAAAACTGTGCACCATCTATTTCAGGTGGTTTCTTCGTTTCCTCTCAAAATGTAGCAAATACAGTATTAAAAGTCTGCACTTAGTGCCAGAAACTGCTATGACTGTCTGTACACTGTCAGCAGAAAAGGTTCCCTCTCAGGTAGAAGCTTTTATGAGCTACTTGCAAAATGCATAAAAAATAAGTTCAAAAGCATTCACTAGGATGCATTAGCTACTTACAGAAGAGTCATTGATGCCAAAGATGTCTCGCACATCCCTGACTGCGTGCTTGTTCTTCTTCCTCAGAGTCTGAGTGTAGGTGTTGTATCTCTTCTGCACTGCAGCAGCTTGTGTTCGGGTCAGGGTGGACAGCAGGGCTTGGCCATCCTCCTCTTCGGCTCCTGAGATCAGTGTCGATAAACCCACGTCTTGCAGCCATTCAGCCTCCAGCTCCCCTTCTGTGGAGGAAGAGAGCGTGTTACAAGGCAGGAGAGGAGGCAGTAGGGTAGTTCAGTGCGTTCGCCTTCACCTCAAGAAGTTTCCATTTCCAATCTGTCTTAAGCAACAAGTATAAGTCAATTTAGTTTTGTCAACAGATTGTCAATTTTCAGTTTGGCCGTATCTGCACAGGACAGGCTTAGCAGAAGAACAGAAGTATTTTTAACCTATGCATTAACACACCTGTGTGAAGAAGGCAGTATAGTTTCTAGCCTAACACAGCAAGATCCCTAAAAGCTAGTCCCTCATTCAAGAACAGAAAGGAAATCTCTTCAGTTATACAGGTGGAAGCCATCTGGCAGGTGGTAATTTAAATGGTGTTCCAGTTAAAACAGGAAAAAACATTGAAATACTGTATACAATACAATAACATATTTGCTATTTTGCTCATTAAGGCTGAAAGGATTTTAAATGCTTAAAAAAACCTAGGGAGTCAGCTAGCAATCAGGCACTTCATGAAGATGCCACATTGAGAGAAACTTGACATCCATCTAGTCTAACAGCCAGTTTTGGACAAGGTAATTAAGGTCCAGAACCACTCACTAAAGAGCAAGTGTTAGGCAGGGGTAGGTATCGTTAGGTAGGGATGCAAGATGCAGAAATAGCTGTCCTTGCATGCTAGGTATCATCCTGATTTCAAATAGTTAGTCTGGCTAGCAACACCCCAGGGTTTCTTAATACTCTGATTAGTGACCAATACCTACCTGACTCCTGTTCGATACCTACTTCTTAACTGGTTCAGCGCTGCAGGTCCCCTGTCACTGTGAGATAAAGCGGCATTTCCAACCTGCCTTCTCTGAATCACTTAGTAAATTTAAATTTTGCTGTCCCTGTCATTTATTAATCTGTTTTCTGTGGTAAACAGTCATAATCTTTTTAAATCTCTCTTCACATGGGAGTTTTCGGGGGCCTTTATTTTAATTGCATCTTTGAATGACAGTAATATGTTTTTTGAGACAAGATAATCAGAACAATAACTGTACTCCAGCTTCGACTGAAGAGCAGCTATTAAAAATAAACATGCCAAACAGGAAATGGATTAATTTGCAGAATGTTCCTTAAAACAACTGTTCACTCATTGTTCTTGTCACAGTGCTGCTCTTAATAACAGGCTCGTATTTCCACTCTTCCTTTATTGCCCCTCCTTGACATCGCCAGAATGCAGTTAGATTGATAGGTACCAGTTTATTGCACTTTGGCAGTTAGATTCACAAAAAGGAAATTACGGGACGGGTTGGTCCCCCAGCAAATGAAAGCATTTTACACATATGCCATCACTGACTTCACTGTTAACTGGCTTGTTTCTTTACAAAGCTCTAGGAAAATACCTTCTAAAAAACCTTGCTCTTTGTTAAGACAGCAGCGTGACCAGCTCCATAACCTATGAAACGGTTTCCTTCCGCTCCATTTCCTTCTACATATAGGACGACAGACTGTTGCTTTTCCTCTTTTGTAAGTTTTGAACTAGCGGTCCTTCTGCTGTTCTCCCTCTTCTTCCAAACAAGCTCTTTCCATTCCTGTGTGCTGCTGTTCTAGCCACAGCCATTCACGCTCCTGTTTCTTAATTACATTCATTTTGGCTTTTGTCCTGAAATTCTTTCCAAGAATTTAGTGTTTAATCAAACTTGGCTTTCGTGGTGCTCTGAAATAATAGTAAAACCGACATGAAATTCTGCCTGCTTACGTGTCACCCCTGTGACTTGCTCTCTCTGGCATTTTCCTTTTTTCTGTTCTAACCACTCCCAAACAATAGGCTGAGAAATAACGACAACAAGCAAATGAGTAAAACTGTTGCAGAAAATGAATTTCTGTATAAAATGCCTCAAAATTATGATACATAGGTTTAAATGAGGGCTAATAAAACTATGTTGTTTGACAAAATATTATTTTATAGTGGTAGCCACTTATGTAGCAGGATCTAGACAACGTGGTTCATTCCGTCCCATGAGAAGACAAACAGATCCCCAGTGGTTGGTGATTCTCTATTTCTCTTAGAGGGTGTCAGGAAAGACATGTGCCTTTTTTTTGAATTTCAGATTTAACCCCAAATAATTCACAATATCCCTTGAAACACTAAGTGTTAAAAGCAACTCTGTGCATATCACTGTCATCTTAAACACCCATTTACTTCCTCTTCCCCTACTTTGTCATTCCTCCTGCCACTTAGTGTGATCTTTTATTCTTCCTTACCGAGATCAACAGTACAAGTGTCATGAAGCGACCTTGCAAAAAGCAGTATTGCGGTTTTGACGATATCACTGGTTTCTGGTTGCTATCACCCCTTTGCTTCCTTCTTAAGCATTCTGCTTCTCTTCCTCTCAATGACATCTCAAAAGGGTGATGAATATTTGTTTTTATTTCACCCTGAGGATTTCCACATTGATTTTCTGTGTTTTGATCCTCAGCAAAGAGTATTAGCCTAATAGTATCTTGATAGAACTCATAATTATTTCCAAGATTTATAATCCCAGACTGAATATATTCCTAAAGTTAATAACTAGAATGAGCACTCCCTGGTTGCTTCTGTTTACATGTGCATATATGTGTTTAAAACAACAGTACGGAGATAAATGAAGTGTGGAAATGTATCGCATTTTACCTTACAGTCTCATTTTTAATTCAAGTCAGAGAGGAAAAAAAATCAATTCAATGTAATGAGGTGCAATCAGACAAAGGATAACCTGGGACTGCGGTACGGTTTGCACAGTTGTGAACATTTAGCTCAGCAGCGATGAGTGTGACTGAGAAGCCTCTGTGAATAGGGAAAATTTGCCCCTGTATTGCTGTGACCTGGTAATGTACCTGGCTCACAGATCTGTGACAGTCTGCTGGCCCTGGTGACAAGTCAGGGACATCCCAGTTCACACTGAGAATTGTATGAAGGAGACCCCGTGTGAGATGAGCAATTTTGCCTTTCTGGGGTTTCCAAGCTAGAGAGGGCAGTCAGAGAGGAATTTTCCCAAGAGGGTCAAGCTGATTGATTGAGAGAGATTGCTTTTCTGCTTTCCCCATAGCAATACTCATAAAGTTTCAATTTACAAATTTGATCTTTTTTTATTTGAGACTGCAGGCCAGCACAAAGAAGTACACGCTGGATGTAAGCTGCCAGAACATAGCCCTCCGAGAAGACTTAGATTTCGGGTGAACTGAGATCTTCTCCTTTTGCTCACAAACAGAGTCCCTACCTGCAACTAGTGAGCAGTATTCCCCATAAAACCAGTATATGGTTGGAGCTAGATGTGAGCTACTTACCATGACTGATTACATATTTAGTTGCTAAATAAAGCAACTTTTCCCCTTCTTCACCCTTTTTCCTGGTAGCAGAATTAATGACCTCCCATTGTGTGTGAAGGAAAGAAAAGTACATCATCACTCACGTTAATAAGCGCATGGAAAGCGCATGGAAAGAATAGCCCATTTTTTTACAAAATCTATCCCTAGATCAGTTGTTCCTAGACTAGAGGTCATGATCCCAAACAGGGTTGCAGCAGTTATCGGTGGGTCATGACCCCAAAAGAAATTCCATTTCATTGTATAGTGGTATTTTGTGTTGCACAATATAATGAGTCTTTAAGTAGAGTCATAACTGGAAATAAATTTGAGAACTGCTGTTCTAGATGTTATCAAGTTATCCAACACAAAGCTGTACAGCAGCAAGCTAGTGCAGATTATTACATGTTTTTCCAAATACATTATGAAAAAGGAAATGGGAAAATATTAAGGTAACATAATAAAGCAGTAGTATCTTCATCATAACTTGTGTATGTGATGAATGGATTTTGAAGAGTGAGGAGGCTGAATGATGTAGACATCCATAAATTCAGACTCTATCTCTCCTTGAACTGCACCCAAATTGGGCAATCTCAGATAAACAGGCAGTTATCAAATTTCTGATAGGGCTAAATGATATCGAACTAAAAACTGCTTCAAGACTTTCATAACTTCTGCTTTATATCCTAGAAAAAGCAAGGAAGTGGAAAATTCCAGTAAACTAATTGAACTTTTTGGTCCCCTACATATATTTTGATCTGGTTTATTTAATGCTAGGGATAAATTTTTCATTTAGTTCCTCTCCTTTCTGAATTACACATTAACCGTCCTCCTGAAGCACAAATAAAATCAGTGCAGAAAGCCCTACTTCAGAAATCAGGTTACTAATCCCAGGCCATAAACCAGACTGAATTATTGTTTTTCTCCAGTAACCTATAGTACCTTGACTATAGGTTCAAAGTGGAGCAACAATGACCATAGACCCAGCCTGGTACTTTGATGATTCAAATCAATATTACAGCAACATAGGCTTAAACTTACCCTGCAAGTGACTTTAAGGGAGGTTTAAAAAAGATTTCATACCTTCTGGCTCAATGTTTTAATCATGTTCATGCTGGGTGATGGGAGGAAGGCGATCAGGGCATCGCTAAAGAGACAAAGCAAAGCCAAACTGTGAGGAAGAAGCAGTGTTCGTGCGCTCACCATCAGCAGGTTTGAACTCCAAGAGCGTTGGTTCTTCACATCCATCTTCACTGCTCTCCTTAATGCTCTCCACTTCGCACCAGAAGTCTTCCATGGAGGTGCTGTCCATGGACACCTGCGAGTTGGAACGACTGAACGCAGGAGGAGATGTAGGCTCGTTGGAAAGCATCCTGTTAATCCTTCGACAGCGAGAGAGAGATTTTCTGAAACGACAGAAAATAAAAATATGTTATTTTTCTAGCGTGCTAACTTGTATTGTGCAGACAAGCCATGCAATTGGGGCTTCAAGTAAGGCTGCACCAGGGAGGCAGGAACAAGATGTTAGAAAGAAAATGCACAGTTCTGGTGGTCTTAATTATCTCTGCTCATAGCAGTTATGGTTGTACACTTATTTTGCATTTAATAATTTATCTCTTTATTGATCTTTAATGGTTTATACCCTAGTGGGATACTCAGGAGATGCAATTTATATTGCTAGCACTGCTAGCCATATAATGAAGCACTGAAAAAGTATTTTAATTTCTTTGTGCCCCAACTTCTCTTTCTGTCCCTTCTCTATTCTGCTTAATGGCTGAAATGTTTCATCGAAAACTTCTCTGGAGAAAAAATTCAGACTTGGGAACACTGAAATATTTTAAAAATTCATCTTGGCTTCACTGATCGTGCATATTACAAAGAAAAGAATGAAAAACTTGAAATAGTTCAGCTCAGAAGAATAATTACCTTTTATTCATTTTTTTCTTGAATTACACTAAACAAATTTGTCTTTGAAATAAAATGCTATGTTTCAGGCCAAACAGCAGATTTTGATCTCTGCACTTTAAAAAATTTATGATTCACAAAAAGTCAAATTTCAAGGTGTTATTCAACAGGGATTCCTCCACTTAACATTTTTTTAAAATATAATTTTTAGTAAACCAAGGAATCAGGTCATCTTTAGTTTGTTCGTGACTGTTCCCACTGTAAATTCTTCCTGTTGAGGACAGTTATACAAAATTTTATAGAACACCCACCACAAATGTCTTGTCTAATTTTGTTCTTTCACATTATTATGTGATTGTAATACTGTAAACAACTTTTGTAAGCATAATTACAGTAAACAGTAATAACAACCTCCATAATATTTTAGTACAAGGGTCAGGAGGTAACATAACTATGGCAGAGAACTAGACTATAGGAATTAACGGAAAATTCTGTCGTAAGGTCTTCTGGCCTTAACTTATCTGAATTAACTCAAATGCAGTTTCCCTTTCTCTTCCTTTTCTTTATGCCGTCATTCTGCCAGCAGCCCTTTGTTTAAAACCACAGACATCACTTTTACTCCATTAAAAAAAAAAGATACTCCTTTTCAGTATTTCCCTTCTTGTCAAAGTTTTCAGAATGGATGTATAAACAATATAGTATTTAATAAAGCAGAACGGATGTACTTTTCCCCTTTTGCACTGCTGAAGCTGCATTCCCACTCCTTTACCCCAGGGCTGGCTGCTTCCCTGAGATTACTGGAGCCTTTCACATCATTTGGGTGGTCTAAGGCAATTAGTTCTGAATTAGTTTTGAGCTCAAGGTTAGAGAGCTGGGGTGGAAACAATGGAGCACAACAAATTCCAGCTGTGGACGTTATCAGTGCTTAAAAAAGCAAGGCTGAGCTCCTGGCCTTTGCCTCTTTTCAAACACAGGGACATGTAATATAGACAATGCACTTGCCTATTTGTTATTAGGCAGATGTTGAGAATCACAGCTTTCAGATGCATGAAAATATTTCAGCAGAAGAAAATGTACCACTGTGCTATGGAGACAGGAAGAGGAATGCTATATGCAATGTTTCCGTCTTTTTTTCTCATAAATGATGAGTGTTTGCTTTTAAACAGAACACTGAAACTGTTATTGTTTTAATTAGGACAAGCCACAGTCAACAAATGCAAGAATTCCTGACACAAATGTGGTTAAAGTTATTTGAGCGCTTCGCATGCAGCTTTCCCACTGGGGAGATGACAGCTTTCCAACTGGCTTTAGTTCACAAAGTCTCAGATGACTGAGACACCTGAAAAATCTTAATTGGTGGAATTATGTATCTGGAAATTGTAGTCCCTCTTTTTTCTGGATTCAGTGATGTTCTCCTCTGCATCAGCAAGGAAACAAAAATGCAAGTCTCACAGTATTTAAATATCATGAGATAATATTGTATCAAGTGGCTCTAAGCAGAAGTTTTAACTAGTAAAACAGAACACCTCAGAACCAGCCAGAAAAGCTCCATGCCTTCAGCCTGGTGGTGAATAGGGGAAACAGCTTTTGCAAGCCAGTCGCTCACTGCTATGAAAAACTGTGCTCTTTTGTTTAAAAGGTGAGAGTGAACATAAATAAGAACAAAGGCAAAACTTCCTGGCATTCTAGCGGCACTTGGGGCCCCTTTGTACCAGGCTCTGTTCAAGCAGATGAGAGAGACAAAAAATTCTGGGGCAAGGAGTAAAACGGGTGCTCTCTTTCCAACCAGCTGCCCATCTCTTCCCTGGCTTTCTCTTTAGCCCGGGGCTCTGCCCAAGAACCCCATGCTGCTAAACTGCCTGCCTGCTTGGTAATCATATTGCTGCTTATTATAAACCTTTGCTAAAAATAAGCCCTTACATCTGATATACAACCCAACTCACAATTCCCATAGCAGCAATCACAGGAATAAAATATCTTGCCATTCTGGAATCACATCTATGCTGGGAGGAGAAAAGGGCTTTTTCCCTGATAGCAAAGCTGGCTCCAACCCTTTAGTCATGGTCAGGGAATTTAAACATTTCCTGCCCTCCCAGTGCGAATCTTGACCGTGACCCTTGTGCTCTTCAAGCACCACCAGACTGATCCTTGGGCTTTGACTCCATCAGCACTTCAGCTAACTCAAACCAAGGCTTTTTATTTCACCATATTAGGAAGAAAGAAGCTTGGTGGGTAGCTCTTTTCCCCCAACAGTGAGTATGTTATTTTGTAATATTACCATACGAAAAAGCTAAATGCAAAACAGACCACGTAGCATGGCAACAACTGCTGTGACAACCAGCGTTACCAAATACGTCTAAGGTTACTGGGTAATTAACACGCATTTACAACAATATTAAAAGTACAGAACATAGTTGGAAAATCAGCTGAACAAAGTTTCCTGAGAACTGCATATCTGAGACTTGTTATCTCAGCCCAGATTAAAGCAAACTGTGTAAGATTCCTGTAATGAGAAAGGTTAGGCAGAAATACTTTATCCTTGTTGGTAAACAACTGAAGCTTGCTTCCAGGTGGTGTGGTACAAACTGTCTCCAATTATTTGAAGTCTCGCTTTTAACAACTCACATGTTTCAAAAGACCTCCAGCTGCTGTTTTGACCCATATACCTGGAGCTTTTTGTCCTGGAGGAAGTGGTCCTGCTTCTATGGGATAATGGCAGTTGTCTCCATTTCCTCCAGCCAAAGTTGCTCAAAGCAGTTTCAGGAAAAAAAAAAATCCTACTGAGGAAGCAAAGTATTTTCTTTGCTACTTCTAATTCATTCTTGAAGGACACTGAATGAGCACTGACTCAGCAAGCTGTCTGCCTGTCTCGGAAATAGCTCAACAAGCCTAGGCTGCCCATCACCTGGGAACTCTCCTCGCAGAAAACCTATGTTCCCGATACCTTTTTCACCCTCAAGGCTTTCTGGTTTGTTTGCCCTTTCCCTCACTGTCCAAAGAGAAGTTTACAAGCATCAAATGTTTCTACTAAACTGATTTCGTTGTTCTAAAATAAAATTCAAAAAGAAGTTTTGCTAGGTAAGTAGTAATCATGAAGCTCGCGCTCCAGTTCTTTCACTCTCTTACCCACTCTGGCAGTGGTGAGCTAATCTGAAAGGTTTGCTAAAATTAAAGAGAGGAAGGATCTCAGATCCTGGCTCCCTGGATGGAAAATGCTGAGAGAGAAATATGAATCTTAAACACCAAACAAAAATTACTGTGACTCCACCGAAGGAGCTGAAACTTTTTTCAGGGTGGAATTAAAAAATATTAAATACCAAAAAGCCATACACACATAAAACTAAACCCTTGAAAAAGGAAAGAAAAAGAAAGAAGGGAAAAGCATACTACAATGACCAATGTTACCAGAGAGCTCCATTATTACTGGACATTGGTCACACAAGAAAGGGTTAAAGACTGCCAGTAAGGAGAAATGTGATGATATCATGTAGAAAGCTTTCCACGGAAAGGTTGTTGCAAAGGAGCAGGATATTTCCAAGGGACACAAGGGGTCTGATCAGCTGTGTGCAACTCTCGTTTTACACTGGTATATGTTTACAACACCAATGAAATGCAATAGCAAATTAGCAAATACTGAACCTGTATTTTATATTCTGTACATAGGACAGTAGTGTGCTGTCCAGAATCTGACAGCACACATTGATTTTGGGATAGCCATGTCACTGCACAATTCTTTTCCTATCCCCAAAGTGAAGATTAGTCAAACCACACAGAGAGCTGAATCAGTGACACCTAATGATTGTTCACAGGCTGATTAATGACAAAGACATGCTAGTGTTTTCAGTTTAATTAAGCAATGGGTGGTAAAGAATCTGTAAAAGAGACAGGGAGCAATTAAGCCACCTTGTAGTTAAAAACAACATCTAATCCTTATTTATACAGAGACAGGACACCTCATTTTTGTGGATCATTATGTTTCATTTCAATCAGCAGGTCCTGAACCTGCTTAATCACAATCAGTCACATTTGTAGAAGTGGGGGAGATGGAGGAGGCAAACTCTCATGGTTACTTTAGGACTAACTGAGATTTCTCTTTTCGTATTGTAATCATTGTATCTGCCTAGCTGCTTTATTCAATGAAGTCAGTGACACCAGAGTAACACAGAAGCAGCTGAGTACGATGTTGTATCTTCTCCCCAGATCCTTCTGTTCTTCAATATATAACAGCAATTAACCAACCCCTGACAAAAAAATAATTACCCTTCCTCTACTCAGTTCTCCTCAAATGTAAAAAAGGGGGTGGTAACTTGCACTGAAGGGGAAACTAAATTTCGTTCTGTTAATTATGAACTAAGTATTTTTCCATTCTGAAATGGAACCAATCATGGAGCAACATTTCTCTTTCTCTCTCTCTTTTTAAATGTTTTTGAAATTTCAGGCCAAGGAAGACTCCAGCAATTGGAAGTAATACCTTTGTGCACAGTTCACGGCTTGTTTTTGG